TCATGGCCACTGGTCGCATCACCTCCTGGGAAATAGAAGAGGAAGATATGGAGGCAGTGACAGATTTTACTTTTTTGGGCTCCATGATCACTGCAAATGGAGACAGCAGCCACAAAATTAAAAGACGCCTGCTTCTTGGGAGGAAAGCGATGACAAATCTTGACAGCATCTTAAAAAGCAGAGACATCACCTTGCCAACAATAGTCTGCATAGTCAAAGCTATGGTTTTCCTGTAGTGATGTACAGAAGTGAAAGCTGGACCATAAAGAAAGCTGACCGCCGAATAATTGATGCTTTTGAATTGTGGTGTTGGAGGAGGCTCTTGAGAGTCCCCTGGACTGCAAGGAGAACAAACCTATCAATTCTAAAGGAAATCAACCCTGAGTGCTCACTGGTAGGATAGATCCTGAAGCTGAGGCTCCAATACTTTGGCCATCTCATGAGAAGAGAAGATGTTGGGAAAGTGTGAAGGCAAGAGGAAAAGTGGAAGACGGAGGATGAGGTGGTTGGACAGTGTCATTGAAACGACCAACATGAATTTGACCCAACTCCGGGAGGCAGTGGAAGACAGGATGGCCTGGCCTGCTCTGGTCCATGGGGTCACGAAGAGTCAGACATGACTAAATGATGAAACAACAACAACAGGCACCTTAAACCCCATCACAAATGTGAACAGGAAGATTCAATTAGCCCTGCAACATAATAAACCTTGAGCAGAATCCTACTACTTATGCCTTAGGAGGTAATTCAAATGTCATAAATTGCAAAGGCAACTGCCACAAGAAGAACTACTCCTTGCTGAACACCAATTACATGACTCAGTATGATAATCAATTTAAATGCTTATTTCTTAGCTAGTGGCAATTCGCCATTGCAGTTTATGCTGTCTGACCTATGTAGTATATGTAAGGAACAGGATTTGGGCCTTGGCTTTAGTCATCTATGAGGAACAAGGAGATCTTATATTTGCCAGTCTTACCTTCACAGGTACAACCCTGTCTGATTAAGCCAACCATCAAAGATGTGCATTGATTGCATTTAGTAGGGGTGTTAAAGGATTTCACTACAAATTGATGGGCTTTCGGCTGTAAAACAAACAGAAACACCAGATTAGGTGCCAGATATTTTGCTGGCCATAAAAAACTGCATGTTAGATTAAAAGCCTAGTTTTCCTGCATTCATAAAATGTAATAAGGTTTGATTTTTATAATTTGCAATACAAAGTATTCTTATGTCCTGAAATCGATCAGTCAGAAAACAGGATTAGCAGTTCCACAGAAATCTGATCCAAATTTCAGTAGTCACGGCAGCTGCCACCTTCATTCTATCAATGTTAAAAGCCCAAATTTATATTAGTCTTAGTATCTTGTTCTTTTTGTTTGTTTGTTTCCTTTGTAAAATGCACAAGAGTTTTAACATTAGAAACTTGCAGGAACGGGATAGGTAGAAGTGTTGTCTAGTATAAAAATTCTACTTTTTGTATCGTACAAGGAATGAGGCTTTGGACAGGGTCTCCTTTGTTTTTATTATGCATTCAATGGCTGATTGTATGTAGAGTTGTTCTTTGCAGTTGCTTTGCAAGAGAGCATTCATTTTCCTCTTGCTATACCCTGTACCTCATATTCAGATAAATGTACCCATGGCAGGCATAATGGACCAGTGATAGATTTGGACTCAGGAGACCTGGGCCATGGAAATTCACAGTGGAGTGCATGGAACTGGTAAAACTATTCCTTAAATATCTCAGTTACCTTGAAAATCTTATTAGGGTCTCTGTAAGCTGGCTGCAACTTAACAACACATAACACATTTGTACAACCTATGATTCTGGAACTAGCTTACAGGCAGTCATGCCTAGCAGTCTCTGATTATTTGATCAACAAGGATGATGATTTTTTTCATCCTTTCCTCTACCACACATGAACTTCTGTTCTCCTTCTGAACTTAGCTGAAACCCTCACAGTTGCTAGAAGGAAATGCAAAGTACACAAAGTAATACTGTACAAAGTTAGGTTTGATTAGACAAATACGATTCAGTACCTTTGGCACAGAGAGTCCTGAACCAATATATGGTGATCTCATGGTTGGTGTATGAACTGGACGCAGAGGATGATCTGAAACCTGAACACACATACACTGAATATTACTTAGGGGACCAAAAACATACCTTTGATAGAAAAAGTTGCTGCAAAATAGGGTACAAGAACTAAAAGAGGCAAATAAACAAATAGCAATGCATTTAATTTTGGATAACATGCTTAGCATCTTCCTATCTAGCAAATTATTTAAGCATTTTAAGGATTTTTAAAAATATAATGGGACATTAAACCTAGTTGTGCCGATTTAATTAGCAGGCATATGTGTTTTACATATATTTTGAATAAATTACACTAGAGATGGGGGCATTCATATTTGTATACGAATATCCTCACACAGGTGGAAATAATGAGGGTCCAGCCCCATGGGGCCGGACCGTCCACTCACCATCTCACCGCTGACATGAGCTCGGCAGAGCCTTCCTTCCCATGGGGCCGGACTGTCCACTCACCATCTCACTGCTGACATGAGCTCGGCAGAGCCTTCCTATTGCACTGTTGTCCGCAATAGATTAAAGGTAAAGGTTCCCCTTGACAATTTTTGTCCAGTCGTGTACAACTCTAGGGGGCGGTGCTCATCCCCATTTCCAAGCCATAGAGCCAGCGTTTGTCTGAAGACAATCTTCTGTGGTCACATGGCCAGTGCGACTTGGACACAGAACGCTGTTACATTCCCACCGAAGTGGTCCCTATTTATCTACTTACATTTGCATGCTTTCGAACCGCTAGGTTGGCGGGAGCTGGGACAAAAGACGGGAGCTCACTCCGTTGCGTGGATTCGATCTTACGACTGCTGGTCTTCTGACCCTGCAGCATCGGCTTCTGCGGTTTAGCCCGCAGCGCCACTACTTCCCTGTCCCGCAATGGATTAGCCACTCCATAATCAGGCTTGTTATCCTGCCTCCTGCCAGGAGTGGCTAATCCATTGAGGACAATGGCATGATAGCAAGGCTCTGCCAAGCTTGCAACAGCAGTGAAATGGTGAGAGGACAGTCCGGCCCCATGGGGCTGGACCCTTGTTATCTCCACCTGTGGGGGGATATACATATACGAATACCCCATCTCTAAATTACAGTAGATCAACCCAAAATGTCATGATAGAAAGGAGTTATACAACCATGCTTTATTTTGATATTTGTTCACCAGTAAGAAAGATCCCTGTAATTTGAGGCAGGTGTGACACTTCAAATCCACAATGTGACTTAGCAAATTATACGTTTGGATGCAACAGCAATGAAAATGATATTAGTTTAAGTATAGCTTTGCAAGACAGATATTAGATTCACTGAAGATGTTCTCAACTAAACTGTGGAGGATGGTAGATTAAAGGAGCATTTCTGCTTCACTCATACAGGCATCAGAAGTGGTGGTAGCTATGAAAAATGAAGGGTCAATACATGATAGCAGATCTACCTGCAGAATCTAAAGCAAATTCCCTCACAGACAGTAGGAGAAGAATTTAATGACTAATGTTAATACCTAATAAGAAAAAGATTATTGTCTGGGTTGGGGGACAAAGTTTTTTGCAGTGTATTTCATGAAGAAGAGTAGTAGGGCGAGCATCACAACTAAAGTGCTGAGACCTTCAGCGTGGAAAGGATTCTTAGTTTGTGTGTGTGTATCTACCTCGAAAGGAGGGACTCAGTTAAGTCCTCTTACTAACAGAATAACTTCTATCAGCTCCCTCAAAATTCAAGAGATTGGGAGACCCTTCTGTGGGAAATTGGAGGACTATGGGGAAGCTGAAGTGGGAGAGGGCAAGAGAAGAAAAGTACTGGTGTTTGAATTAAAGCTCACTGCAAAATCATGGTCAGCTATACTCTTTTACCGCTGATTTTCTGAACAATGCTAACAGAACAACTGCTAGAAGACTTGGATGATTTATTAATCGTAGAAATGGTGGGAAGATACATAATATCAAAAAATCTGGATAAGCTAATATAGGAGGAGTGTTGGGTCTTAAAAAACAGTATGTGAATATAACTTGCCTAAAGTCATCTTTTCTTAAGAAACTTTTAAGTAATCTTAAGTAATTTTACTTACTTAACCTAACAGGACATATTAATAAGTAATTATGCATAGGAATGCAGGGGAATATGATAACTATACCTCACTTTTAAAAGGTTTGTGGCATTTCAAAATCAAAAGATGACAGAATGAATGATATTTAATGTAGTATTAACCCTGAAGCCAGGCTATCCATGGAACATCACCTGTATGGACTATAAATAGAAGCCATGACATTGTTTTGAAAAAACAGACCACTTCAGCCAAAGGAAGTCTTATATTTCTGAGGTATCTGAGGAGTTTGTGGCCAGCAAGCAATACTTATTTTTTTTCTCTGCAGCTAATGTCTGCTTGACTCAACCATGTCAGGTTATAAACTACTTTTGAACCTATTAGTAGTTTCAAAACAGTTTGTCTAATGCCCTTTAGTCTTTTAATGTGTGGCCTAAGCATAGAATTTGATAAGTAGGCTTCTGTAAGAAAGTAAAGAATATAAAAATAAAAAGTGACACCCACTGGAAATTTTACAAGGATTTGTCAAAGTTCAGAAGCACAAAACAAATGGAATCAGCAGAAAAGGGGAAGAATAAACAAAACAGTACTCCATCCTAAATGTAATGGATGACCAGAATGAAAGCAGCAGCAATAACGATCTACCTTATTAGAACTAGCCTGTATGATTTTTCTACCAGCGATTTCCTTCATATTTGTACTTCCTACAATGGGATAGGGTCCACTGGAAGGCCTATTCTACAGCAGTGGCGAAGAAGTCATTCTTCTCTGCCACAATTGTTTCTGCACAGAATTGTCCAATATAGCTCTTTTGAGTGGTCAAGGGCCCACAGGAAGAGAATGCAGACCACACTGGAGCTCATTGTGAAGAATCTGCATGGCACTTTGCAAGAAAAATTTCTCAGATCCATTCTAACTTGGATGCTGTAGTGTACACAGGTCCTGTGAATGTAACTATGCCCACTGCTTGCCCTGTATTAATGAATAATTTTCAGATTTTGCAGCCTGATGGTGTGGACAGGACCTTTGGAGAGGTGAAGGCCACCACAGTTCAGTTGGACTCTTGGCATTCCTAACTTATAAAAGCTGCCAGAGTAGGTACGAGGAACAGTGAATGCCTCCTTGAAGCAGGGTAGAGTCCCAGAATGCTTAAAGGTGGCAGCAGTTAAGACTATTGCTGAAAAAGCTCTCCTTGGATCCCACAATACTAGATAATTACCGGCCAATCTCTAATATACAATTCTTGGGCAAGGTGCTAGAGCAGGTTGTGACATTTCAGTACCAGAGTTTTCTGGATGAGCTAGATTACTTGGATCCATTTCAATCTCACTTCAGAGCTGATTATGGGATGGAGACTGCTTTGGTTACTTTTGTGGATCACCTACGCCTGGAACTGGACAGGAGAGTGTCTGTCTGTGTTGGTTGTGGTGAACCTCTCAGTGGCTTTCAATAGCACTGACAATGGTATCCTTCTGGCCTGTCTCTCTGGGATAGGGTTTGGAGGCATTGTTTTAAACTGCCTCCAGTCCAACACCCTGGTCATTGGCCTGTGGGGTCCCTTAATGTCCTGTTTTGTTTCTTATGCCATTTAACATCTACATGAAACTGTTGGGAGAGGTTGTCCAGAGTTTCGGAGTTTGCTGTCACCAGTATGTGGATGACTCTCAACTTTATCTCTCCTTGCCATCTAAATCTGTTTTGACTCTAGATCAGTGTCTAATGTCAGTAATGGACTGAGTGAGGGTGAATAAACTGAAACTTAATCTAGACAATACAGAGGTGCTCCTGGTAAGTCAAAAGGCAGATCAAGGAACAGAGATTCAGCCTGTGCTGGACAGGGTTGTACTCCCTCTGAAAACATAATTGTCCAACTTGGGTGTACTCCTAAATTCATATCTGAGCCTGGACACCCAGGTTTTGGCAGTTGTGAGGAGTGTCTTTGAACAGTTAAAACTAGCGCATGAGCTGCATCCATTCCTGGGGAGCTCTGATCTGGCCAGCAACACTTATTTTTTCTCTCTGCAGCTAATCTGACCACAGTGACACCTGCCTTAATTACATTCCAGCTGGATTATACTGCAACACGCTCTACATGAGGCTGCCTTTGGGAAATGTTCGGAAGTAGATTCAAACATTGCAGCCAGATTGTTAAGTGGGGCTAGTTACAGGGATCATGTAACCCCCTTGTTACAGCAGCTCCTATAGCTGCCAATCCATTTCTGGCCACAATTCAAAGTGCTCGTTTTAATCTATGGCTTGGGTCCAAGCTATCTCAAGGACTGCATTCCCCTTTATAATCCTACCCAGGGGTTAATATAATCGGGAGGCCTTTCTCTCGGTCCCATCACCCTCACAGCTGCCTTTGGTAGGACATGGGAGAGGGTCCTCTCTGTTGCTGCTCCCAGACTCTGGAACTCCCCTATAAATCTCCATTGGCTGGGCCCATTTTTTCTGTCCTTCTGCAAGCAAAGACCGTTTTCTTCACGTCTCAGTGACTGGCTATATGAGAGGGGTTTTTTAATGGATTGTTGTATGTAGTTGCTTTTAAATGTATTTTTAGGATTGGTTTTATTTATTTACCATTTTAATATAGTTGTTTAATTCTTTTTAAATATTTTTACAGTAAATGTTTTTAAGTTTTTAAATATTATCTTTTTAATGTTGTAAGCCACCTTGGTTACTTTTTAAAGGAGAAAGGCAGGGGGAACATATTTTAAATAATAAAAATAAAGAAATAAGCTTCACTTATTAGAACAGCAGCAAACCCAATTTTATCATCACTGTAAATTCCGATTTTAGCCATATGTCTATTGTTGTCTCATGTTATATTTTAGAAATATACTTTTAAAAGTATCTCAAATGTATGTAAAAAAAACAAAACCCAGACCTTTGTCAGCTGTTTCCCGGATATAGAACAATTTTCTAGTCTCACTCAATTTGAATGCTCTAAGTAAGGATGGGGAACTTGTGGCCTGCCAGATGTCAGTCTCAAACAGTACACAAGCATCCTTCAGTCTCGAGAGACTATGGTAACATGCTCTGAATCGAGGAGTGTCCTCTCCAGAGCATGAAGCCTGGGTAAAATAATATGGAGGATAGGCTGTTACCCAAGCAGCAGATCCCCCCTCTCCACGTTGCTGAAATGGTCTAATGGAGCCAATAATGAGAAAAAGAGAAATAGATGATGAGATGGAGAATCGTAAGTTACTCCCTCCTCTACTCTTTTTCAGTGCAAAACGAGATTGCAGAAATGCAAAACAGCTTTCAGTAACATTCCGTGCTGTACATCTACTAAAAGAGAGTACTCCTATTTATGTTTGCTGAGAAGAAATCCCCACTGAATTCAATAAAGTTTACTTCACAGCGAGCGTGCACAGGATTGATTTTGAACCTATTTCACACTGTGGCATGGGACAGACAATTTGTAAATAAATGTTCTGAGAGAGAGAGTACCTCAATTGGTTCAATGTCACTAGCTGTGGAAGGGGACCTAGATCTTGAATGAAGGTGACACTTGATATCTTCATCCCGCGAAGGCGTATTAGATAAGGTAAAATTTTCAACAGAATCAATCTAGAGAAACAACCAAATGAAAGAAACAAGCAAAAGAAAAAGAAAAGGAAGGGGGAAAAAGGACGGGGGAAAATATTAAGAGGCCACTTTTGATAATTTTCTCAGAAACACAGAAATTCAGATAGGGAGTTATATTATCATTGAAAAAAATAAGTAAAAGGAATATATAATAAATGGTCACTTGAAATGTAAATATTTAAATTGGCTTCCTGACTTGCAAAGGCAGCATAAGACTACTCCCCCTGAGCTGCACAGATGCAGGAATTAGTAAAGCAGTCCCTGATTTGCTGGCATTTAGGACAGGGCAACAGTGTTATAAACAATTTAGCCAATGGATTGCATTTGTGGGCCCCTGAGGCCTTCATATGCAGTTATGATTTTTTTTTAAAAGTGACAGGCTGTTTTATAAAATACAGTGGACAGCAACAAATATTTTTAAAAGCTTGACTTCCACATGAAACTTCATAGGTATGAAGTAATTTTAAAAAAAACTGAGAACAGTAATATCTGGTGGTGATTATTTTTAAGAAGGAGTTGCTTTCATGGCAAAATAGTATCTTGCTTAAGTATATTTTAACTAATTCTTTTTTTTGTTCTATTTCAGAACAGCTGCAATACTCTGTACTCTGTTGTTCAGTAGCAAGAAATAAAACAAGTCTATATTTGTATATTTTTCTACCAGAAAATAAAAGGATTTGGTTGTGCTGCACCTTGATATACATTTTCTAATTGCAATTATTTCTATCATTGTAATTAGAATTGTTTCATGGCTTAACTGTTACACAGTTTTTGCACTAATATCAAAAAGTGTGTTCTATCAGTACTAATGATAAAGACTCCATTGACACACAATATAGCATCTACATATTTTCTTATGATGCTTCATTAGACATGGTTTGGCTTGGTTTAAGAAATCTTTGCAGAAAGAAAGCTCTAACTGAAACTACCTTCCCCCTCTAACAGCATGGCATAGGGAAAGTCAATCCAAAAATATATTTTCCTCTAAAAATATTCTAGTTGCTTTTATTGTTATTTTAGTAAACTCCAAATTCCTTAAGGAAAATATATGTGGTGCAATCTACTAGTTGTTTGTTTGTTTTTGTTTTTAATGCTGAAAAATGATTTGTGGTCCCGGACATCACAAAAATATGTAACCTGGAGAAAAACTGCATCCAAGCTATCTTAGTTCTGGATATTTTTGCAGTTTAAACAAACCATCAGTAGAGAACAGGTATATGAGCAATTTGTTTTCTTTCTTTCACTGGTGGTAACATCATGTCTGGCTTTTATATCTTTTTACACTTGTGCAGAACAACAGCTGAGAAGCAAAGTTTTATTCAGTCCTTTTTAACAGAGTGACACATTTAAGCTAACATTATTTGACTGAAATCCAGTACTAAGTCGCAACTGGAATAAGTTCATTGAATCAGTGCTGATATGGTGCGTCTACACCTATGCAAGTTCACTGACTCAAATGGCCCACTCTAGTTGTGACATGCTACTGGATTTCAGCCCATAAAATGCTACACACCTCTTGGCCATATGTATACTGTTTCAGCTGCAGAAGAAATTCTTGTCAATGGTCAAATTTAAAAACAAAAAGCTGGTATTTCCTGCCCTTCTAAATATCAGGAGCTATGTACCTTTTTAATTACAATACTCCTCAAGCATACTGGACAGTATAGGAGGTACATATATTCTGGATACCATTTCTGAAATTGTTTCTCAGAAACCTTATCTCACTTTTAACAAAACCCTATCAAATCATTTTGCAAAACTGTGAGCCATTGTGTAATGGATGGGATACAGTGTAATGGATATGCAGGTATATACTATCTTTCATGTTTTGTTAATGCCTTTCCCTCATCTATCTTTAACATTTTTACTTCTGACAAACAGCACAGACACAGCACAAGATGAATGCAAAATACTGGAGTACACATGCTTCTTCTTGTAATTTATGTTTTCACCAATTTTAGAGCCTCTGTTTTCTTCATGCATTCTATTTATTAGCATTTTAACATTTAAGAAATAATGTTCTAGTTTAGCAAACAGCAACCAATGGATAGGACCAGGTTTCTCCTCTACATGTACTGCATACATCAAGCAATATTGCAGAATTGCCTTTGGTCAGAAGGCAAGCAGCAGGTCACATACTTGCAGCTGTGCACAGGTATGTCCCTACCCTTAGCTGTGATGAAAACTCTTTTTTTTTTCTTTCAGATTTCTTCCATTACAGAGAGGAAACACAGCCCAAGGAACCTAGTTCTCTTCAAGGTTAAGGATGTTCTGAAGGGATCACTATGCTCACAGGTATAGGATGTACTCTTCTGTCATCTAAACATGCACATAGTCTACATGCACATGCCTGGATGCAAAGGTCTGCCAGATGGAGAAGTCCCTCATCTAGAGCTTAATATTTATGTGCAATTTTCTGTACAGAGCCTCTACTGTCTAATCAATGGTGAGTGTTTTAGGCTTAGATACCACTAGTTGCTATAGTCTGGAACAGATACTGTATGTCATCACTAAATCTTGATACTCTTTTTTTCTGCCAACTAAGGTAAAGGTAAAGGTTCCCCTTGACAATTTTTGTCCAGTCGTGTTCGATTCTAGGGGGTGGTGCTCATCCCCGTTTCCAAGCCATATAGCCGGCGTTTGTCCAAAGACAATCTTCCGTGGTCACATGGCCAGTGTGACTTAGACACAGAACGCTGTTACCTTCCCACCGAAGTGGTCCCTATTTATCTACTTGCATTTGCATGCTTTCGAACCGCTAGGTTGGCGGGAGCTGGGACAAGAGACGGGAGCTCACTCCGTTGAGTGGATTCGATCTTACAGCTGAAGATCTACAGACCTTACAGCACAGAGGTGTCTGCAGTTTAACCCGTAGCGCCACCATGTCCCTGCCAATTAAACATCGTTCTAAAGCTGTAGGAACTAACAAACCTGATCTTGAGTGATAAAAATTGTGCAGTGTATTTGTGAAGGCTTTCACGGCTGGGATCTAATGATTGTTGTAGGTTGGCATCATCAGAGGCCACAGAGACTGGTGAAACGTTAGGAAGAACAACCTTCAGAACACGGCCAAAGAGCCCGAAAAACCCACAACAACCATTGTGCACTGTATTGCCTTTCTGTTTTGATCTCATGTAAGGTCCACTTTATTTATGACTGAGGAGAAACATATCTATTTACAAATATAAGATTGATAGTTTAAATTCAGTAATTGCGTATTCAAAATGAATTAAACTAATCCTGCATGACAACAGCTTCTTTATAATGAGCATTTCTATAGGAAATAGTTCAGACAAACTGATGAGTTTTATTTATGCTTGCAACCATGCAACTAATCTAAGTAATTTAAACAACTTGGTTTATTGTCTTTTTTTGTTTGTTTCTGTGATACTCTAAAACTAAAAGCGCAACATGAAAAGCAAGAACGTCACACACATTCCCAAGCCTTGTTACTCAGACAGCATTAAATGCAAGGAAAGTACAGGAGCCAGCACAAGACAAGCCGCAAGATTAATATGCAAGCCATAAAGAGCATCAGCAAAAATTGTATACATTAAACAAAGGCAAAGGCATGTGCAGTATAGGCAAAATGAAAAGGCCACACACAGCAAGACTTCCTCTTACACGTCTGCCTTTGTGAGCTGGAATACAGGAAGGAGAGCGCTTTAACAGAGAAAGGAGGAGACTGTTAACAAAATGCAATGGAAAAGCACGTAATTCAGATCTGAACTTCTATCATAGGGCACTTATTTTTTATATCTATATATGTCTCTCCTACTCTGATTTATAATGACAGAGACACATGTTCTACGGTATTTTAAGAAGATAAACAACAAACAAACAAAAACACACACAAGAAAACAATTATTTCAAAATGTATACATTCAGACAAAATATGAATCCCTTCAAGCTCATGACTATTTTAGAGAAAAGGCCAAAGTAAATGTTAAATGCACTTCTATATTAAATATGCAGGTTAAACAGCAGCAACAAATGGCACCTATTTTTGTTTGTTCACATATTACATTGCTACAGAAGATCTCTGTGGTGTCATGGTTAAAGTGTTGGACCAGGGAGACCTAGGTTAAGAACTTATTCAGTCATCAAGCCCAATAGGTGGTGTTTTGTTAATTACTGCATCTTGAGCTAACTACTTCCTGGAGGAACATGATAAAGAAATGTTACCAAAACACACACAGACAGGCACACACACACACTTTTTTGTAAAATTTCTTATTATGTTTCCTCCCATAAACCTAACATAGCATAACATAGGATATACATTCTTCACAGTAAAACTATCTCTCTCTCTCTCTCTCTCTCTCTGTCTCTCTCTCTGTCTGTCTCTCTGTCTGTCTGTCTTCCATGTTTTCAGATGTATGGGCAAATAACTCATGAGCTGGCATAACGAAAGATCTCATTTTGATCACAGAAAATAATACAACTTGCTAATGTTGGATGTCTTCTTAATATTACAGGCCTAAATCTATATGGATTTAGGCCATACTTTAAATACGTAATTTAAATAGGACAGGGATAAGGATGAAGTCAGAGCATGAAGCAGGATTCCGCAGAAAAACCTTTTCTTCTGACTAGAATCAGCAGTAATTAAGGACATTACATTCTAGCCCTGAAGATGATTAAGTAGTTTGTGTTTCTTATGGCCCTGAGTAATGTTGTCTGAATTGTTGTTTGATTTCAATGTTTTTTGATTTAGAAATAGTTTAAAGGTACTTTTAGAAGAATCTTAGAAACACTGTCCAACCCTGATGTTTTTTAATTGACTGATGACATTAGTGGTGCTATGGTAAATTGATTTCAAATACCAATCTCCATAAATAAAAATTTCATCTTGTTCTCTACACAGAATTTAATTTGCAATGTTGGTGAAAAACTGTAAAAGGAAATAATATGTATTTATATTACTTGTGAACATCATTAGCAGATTTATTTTCAATGAATTAATTAGATGCTTTGGCAAAATCACTATGTAACACAGGCAATGTCACTAGGAACCACAGGTAACATCATGATCCCAGTGGACCAGATAAGGCTCCCTTGGCCAGCATAACATTAAACATCCCATTTTCAATTTTTAAAAGAGTATTTACACCATGTTTAAAAGGCAGTTTTCTCTATGGGAAAGAACAAAACTTTATGTTTCTTGAGGCCTTATTTAATGAATTACATTTGTTATTATTGCAAATTGAAGAATTATTGGCAAATTAGATAAATAAAATACATTATATAGAGTAGCTCAGATAATGTGTTAATTCCTTCGAAGAAGACATCTGTACAAGTGTTGTTAAAGGTGACAGGCATGTTTTGCTACAGAATTAGTTAAACATTAGAATAAAAAATGTTAGTATCATAAGCCTTCTGATTTTTTTAAAAAAATCAGAATGTATTTTATTTACTAAACATTCTTATATAAATGTCATTTTAAAGTAATAAGTACATAATTTTAAATTTGGAATAACATACTGTTCTTTGGTGTCTGAACCCAAGTGGGAGTTTGTATTAACACAACTTTTTTTAGTGAGAAAAAATTGTATTTGATTCACACACGTTTCTGTTAAATAAATCTGACCAACATGTATTACTAGTATAAGTTCATCAATCCTTCTTGTAACTTTTGCTTACTGTGACATTTTGTAGACATTAGTTTTAGAGAAGATATATAATTCCACATATTTTTATACTTCTTTGAAATGTACTTGAATTAAAAAACAACAACAAAAGAAGGCTGATACACTTAGAATTATCTAGAAACTTTCCAAGAAAGATGTGGAAAGGGTCGAAACTATGAAAGCAATGTTCCTGATACTTTATGAACTCTGTAAGTTCCAGGTTTGGAAGGAAGAGTTCTAGCCCACTTATTGTTAATAGGCCATTCTTCCTACCCTTCTTATGCTTCAGTAGTCTCGACACATGAGACTTAGCAGAGTCATTCAACTTTTTTTTTTGGAAAGCAACAACACACAGGTCCCCCCCCCCCAAGTCCTGTTTCCAGATAAGGATTTTATCATATAATTGCCTGGCATAAAGGTGGAATGCCATGGAAGGGGGATATCTAGACAATATTGCCTTTCATGTATACTGTATTACTTCCCTGTTTTTCCACTCCTTCTTCAACCTTTTTTCTACCCAGGAAAAACAGGTTAAAGTGGAAAAGATGGAAGGCCTCCATTTCAAAACAATCCAGGTCATATTAATGTTCATTCTCGAGTTCAAGATAAAATATAGCTCTAAATGCATCTGGGAATCTAGATACTCCCCCCCCCCCAAACTAAGCCAAGGAATTCACATTCTTCCTTGTTAGGATAATTACAGTAAGCTGTAGATTTCCTTGGTTTTGGACAAAATAACTACTGTGTTTCCCCGAAAATAAGACAGGCTCTTATATTAATTTTTGCTCCAAAAATGCATTAGGGCTTATTTTCAGGGGATGTTTTATTTTATTTTCATGTACAACAACCTACATTTATTGAGATACGGTCATGTCACCGTCTTCTGTTTGCTGCACAATGGTGGAGGGCAGGGTTTCACTTAACTGGGGTTTATTTTTTGGGGTAGGGCTTATATTATGAGCATCCTGAAAAAATCATACAAGGGGTTATTTTCACGTTAGGGCTTATTTTCGTGGAAACACGGTATTATGTGCCTGAAAGAAACAAAGACTAAACCACTGCATCTTTACTGGGTGAAAAGTCTGTATGTTATCAGCTACTGTTTTGATGCAGGTATGAGGGGTATTTGGCCCTCCATATGTTTTTCAAATTTCACTCCCAAAAGCTAATAGTAGAGGACTGGGTAAGCTGCACTCAAAAAGTTCTCAAGGGCCAGTTTTCTCATTCCTTAAAAGGCTACTGATGACACACATAAAATTATACATGACATTTCTTCTGTAAAGCAGATGAAACAGACTAGACCTAGTCACAAAATGTTGGAATAGTCAAACAAGAACATTCTCCTTTCAGGAACTGTTTGAAATCACAGAAAGTGGTTTGCTTGCAGCAAGCAGGTTGTCTGAAATAAGGAGGAAGCATTACCATATTCCAGTAACTATTTTCCTATAGCATACTGAATTATTTTTACTATCCAGACCCTATAAATGATATTAGATCAACAAGTCCAGCCCTTGTCCAGGAGGCACAAGCAGCAAATCAAACTCCCAGCCTTTGACTCTGCAGACAGATATTGACCTCTAAGCTATCCAGCAGTTCTGGATAAGAATGGATCATGCATTCTCTCAGTCCTTGAAATTAGCACAAGGAAGGAGAAGGATATACATACAGCACTCTCTGTAAATGATAGAAATAGAGAGCATACAAAATATGATCACTATAAGAACAGAACTGAGTTTTTGTATTTTTTAAATCTTTATCCAGAACTAAACTATCATTTTAGCCAAGGTCACTCTTCTGTGTCTCTGAAAGATATTAAAAATAAAAAATCAATTCTAAATGTAAAGGTGGGAAGGTGTAACATTCTTACAGTCCATTCAGAAGGCATGGACAGTGTTTAATTCAAACAATTCACTAACTGTTACTTCAGACAATTCACTAATACCACAAGGTAACAACACAACTGCATTAAGTACAATACTACTCACACTATAACTTGATGCACACTTGATAAAAGTTCTTTTTTTATCAGTATATGACTATACACTCCACCCTCTTTACTTCACCATTCTTAGTGGGCTCCCACACTCCTCTGTAGTAATCAATATGTTTTCTACCGTATAACTAAATTTAATAGGCAAAATCCTGTTGTGTGAAGTTATGCCACTGTCAATTGGATCTGGACCTGAAATAATTAATTTAAACTAACTGAAAGCATCCTACTCCCCCTTTAAAACGTTGTGGGCTTCCTGAGGCTCATTTTTGCCCCAGAAAAGCTTCTGGGAGCTGGGGGGTGAGGGCGGCTTCAATATTCAAAAGTTGCTGCTGGATTACCATCAGCAGAATAAGGACTGCAGGAGACTATTAAAAACCTCCTTCCCCTGATCCCAAGACTCGCCAACACTTCACCAAGGCAAAACGGAGCACTAAGAAGCCTTAGAACCTGAAGGGGGAGGGAATTTTTTTTTCAACTAATTTAAATCAATTATTTCTGCTGCTGCATCAGGTTTATGACAGCATAACATTATGCAATAAGATTCTGCCCAATGCATCTCAGAGTTGCTAGAATTAATCTTTAACAACAGGATATTTTCTGAATGACATTATTATAAAGAGAGTGACTTGTGTATATTCTGAGACAACACTCATATGTTTTAATATATTAATCTAGTACAAAGGAACATAGTGTAAAATAATGCAGTCAATTTTAACTAATGATAAGAAGGTGCCATATCAAACAGATTAATAATTTTGTCAATAGTCCAATATGTAAAAAGAAAAACAAAAATATCTGCTGTGATTATCACAATACAGTATGTAGTTAAAATCCAGAATCCAAAATATTCAGAAATAAATGTTTGGAAATAATGAGCATAAAGGAAAATATGACTGAGCAGATAAAAGGAAACATCTTAAAATCAAAGGGGAAAAATAATTCATTCTGAACCAAAATCAAAATCATAGCAATGGATTTTAATGGTCAACTTCAGACCAACCAACTTCATTTCAGTTTTAAAATTCAAGAGCAGACTGAGTATGAAGCATCTGAATAAATAAGCAAGATCCTGCATCTCATCTCCTTCCAATAGCAAAAGAAAGGAAAAACGCTTGCAATAACCTTAAATTCATGCTCTTAAAAAAAAGTACTGAAAACTACACAAGGTATAAGCTTATCAAGAGCACAGAAATTGTCTAACTGATTTTCATGCTCTTGATGACACTGTTAAAATGACTGCATTACTAAGCATTACTAAGTGAATTTGCCAAATCAATCTGTTTTCTATGGAATAATCTGCTGGTTTGGAGGTGAAAGACTTACGTCATCCATAAAATCAATCAATGAGGATGATGAAGAAGAAAAGGAATCCTATTTTAACGCATAGAGCAGTAAAGAAACAGAAACAGATAGATGAAAACTTCTGTTTTGTGAAAATAACCAGCACCGCCATACTGTTGAGAAATCAAGTAAAGAAAGATTCTAAGTAACTAAAGGATTTTTTTAGTAATAATGTGTATAACTGTACTAGCTGACTACTATTTCACCTTCATTACATATGCATTCAGGTACATGAAACACTGCCCAAGGGTCAACAAGGAAGCTACGTCCATAACATAACACTTTGAGGTCAACTTTATCTTGAGAAGTGATACTTATGACAAATATTGTCACAATTTACTGGTGGTGACTTTATAGAATCAAAGTAATCAGACTGTTTGCTAAACAATAGAAATGTGTATGGCCATAGAAGATGAGATGCAGCTAAACAAGTAGAGAAGTACCAACACCAACATTATTTTCTAGCCAAGTTTCTCTCAATTTTCTTCTCCTTGGCTCTGACTCCCCTCTCTCTTCATTTCCTGACATTCTCATCCTTGCATGCAATCTAATCTCTAACCTCAGACTGTCTGCCTCATTTCTCTCTTCCTCTCAACTCCAATCCTTGCTGAGGTCGTATTAGTAAGATGTCCCCCCCCAAAAAAAAAACAACACAAAAAAACCCCACAAAATGTGTGTATGTAAGCATAGACTAGAAGTACTTACAGTCTTTGATTTCCAAACCATTAAACATGGTATTCTTATTTATGGTGTGCTGATTTATAAAGTGCTAGACAAACAATCTGAAGATGAGTGCATCATGATCGGTCATGTCAAAAACACACCTAAAGCTCTCTGAACACAGTCTATTACCTTATACTTATCCTCAGTTTTACAATTGCATCTTTACTGAAAATTTGATTTTTATGACACTGTTGCTGAATTTGTATTTAATTGCTGTTTTATGTTTTATGATAACAGTTCTACATAGTCTCTAGTGGAAAGGCAGTATAGAAAATAACAAATAATAAAATGTTCTATAGACATTACAGAAGATACATTTAGCTTATGCTATGCTTAGTTAAATTTAAAAAAAAAATAGAAATCTGCTTTACATTTTCTAGAGATTGCAGTATCAACCAGAAATGTTTAAACTAGGATTTGATCCTATTTTATCTAATAGGGAATATGCTATATTTAAAAACATCATAGATTTTACTTCTATTTTAAGATTCATTCTTGGATTTCCTTTCAGATCAGAAAATAACAGAAAAAACTAAACAAATAAAACAATCTGGGGTTCAACCTTATTATATGTTTGAAGTAAACCTTAGACTGATGCATACAAAACTTGTAATCCAAAGGTTGTGCAGATATGAGTAACTTAACTTTCATTTCTATCTTAAAGGAGTAGTAACCACAAAGTAAATATGGATGTCAATGGAAATATACAAAAATCATAAATCATCCTGTGTACTCACTTCAAATTGATCCAGAGCAGAGGTAGGAGCATTCAAAAATGCCAAGAAAGAATTCTGTGAATCTTGGTGCTTTACACCTAGAAAACAGCAGCAAGTTTTAAACCTACAGAAAATGGTTGCCCAAGTCCTTATGGATGGGTTGCTCCTTATAATCATCACCACAGTGCCAAAATATATAATAATAATCTCCAACCCAGGAAAATGAAACAGAAATTGCAAAGGAGGGGAAGAGAATTAGCACTCCTACATATGTAGCTACTGCTTCCTAATCAGCACTCTCTGAAGAAGGGAATAATGCTCACTAAGAAAGACCTCTGAAAAATACAACTAACCTTCACAATCTCATACTACTGTAAATTGGATGTGTTCTTGATTGAGACCAGCATTCCTTATTTTGGCTGGCAGTGTCTTCCTAGGATTTCAGAAACAGACCTTTCCCAATATCTTGTATTGATCAATATAGTTATGGAGATGCCAGCAAGTGAACTAGAACCATGCAAATCATTCCTCTGTCACTGAATCAGGGTCCCTCCCTCTAGAAAGGATGAAGATTCTCAGTCTCAAGGAATGAAAGAAAAAACAAACTGGCCTTGAAGCAGGGCTAATAGTTATTTGAACTATGAACTTCCAGAGTGTTTGAAGGAGAAAATTTCCCCCTCAAACAAGGGAAGTATTGGGAGTAGAGGAGAAAGAAAAAACCCTTCCCTGCCTCCTTTATGAGCCTGCCTTCTTTTCTTGAATTGTAGAATAAATGCATACTTTTAGAACTGTAACAAAGATAATCTGAAGAAAGCACTTTAGGTAAGTTAGATGTTCACCAAGCATAATATATTGTCTAAAATATTTTAAGTGTTACATTGATATAAAAATAGAATCTTCTTTTATACATGATTACAGAGAAAACACCAAGAAAGACTTGTTAGATGTAACACAGACTTACCATGGTAACTGGCTTTACCATGAAGTTTGTTTTGGGGAAATAATGACTAAGAAACAATGAAAAGAAGACCATGCAGAAATGGGCTGGGGGCCTGCAGAGAACAGGGAAGGTCACTGTTTTGGCAGAAGGAACAGGCTCCAGAGAAAGTAAACAACTAGATCCACACCAATCTTTCTACGGCTAAGGTAGGACTAGCTTTCTTCTACAAACAGGAAAAGGACTAGAGAAGTGATTTCCTTTTCTACAACCAGTCCTACTATGTGGCAGTTAGGCAATTGTTTCAGGTGGCAGACATTACAGCATGGCAGTGGCATTTAGCTGTTCTCCTATCTCCGAGGACAGAGCTCTGTATACTAAGTAGCCAACCCAGACCCACTGAAATATCCTGAGCAAGCCTGGAGCCCTCTTTCCAAGAATAAATATGAATAAGCTAAGATAGTACCTTTATAATAAAGCAACTTTTAACATAAAATGCAGTATCAGCAAAGCCAGTTCCAAAGAGAAGAAGGCTAGGGAGAACTGGAGAAAAGGAAATCTCCAGGTCACCTAACTGAGGGAATATCCCCTTAAAATGTCCAACCCCCAGAATTAAAACAGAAGAAACTGCTCTTTCACCACGAGGAAGAAAACAACACTTTAATGTACCAACAAATTAATTCAAGTGTTCTCCTTTGCTAGTGAAAGCAGTGGACAGAATGGAAAAATTCTTCTAGTCCAGAACAGTTTTATAGCATAGCAGTATGGAGTGGTGCATTTGTTGAGGCATCAAACTATTTGTAAATTAAAGTATTACAGTGGCAATCTACAAGACCTTTACTTCACAAGAGAACCTTTCAATTTCATAAGAATACTCAAATAAATGGTTCCCAGCGTACAACAATCAAACATCAAAAGACCCAGCCCATTTTAATTGACTTCATGCAATACACCCTCAAGCTATTGTGTTTTTAACTTTATTCTTTTAATACTGTGAGCCACCTTGAGTCTCCTTATCAAGAGAAAGCAGTTTATAAATAAGAGAAATAAATATATGTGTCTGATCCATAACTAGTCATCATCGTCTGCCAACATCCGTCTGATGAACAGTATTGCAATTTAGGAACTTCTATGTTCTATCATACGTTGTAAATGAGTAACATCTGTATATTTACAGATTTCGAAGAAAACGATGCAATTTGTGAGAAATACCATGTGAGTTTCAAGTGTACAAAGAGAACACAGTAAATATCTGCTCTTGTAGTTTTATAACTGCAATGAGTACATCTTATCAGGCAAGAGCTGTGGCAACACTTTATTATCCATATTCAGTCAGCACACTACAATAAAACACTCTTATTTGGTAAGATGCACACAACACTGTGAAGTATATTATGCTTTGTTTACTTGGAAACCAATTGTCATACCCTTTTCTGACTGGAGTTCTTCTGTCTCTTTTTTCAGTCTCTCAATTTCTGATAACAGCTCAGAGTTCTTTTTCTCAGCTTCCTGTAGTTTGCTTTTCACAAACAAAAAAACAGAGAGGGATTAAATTAGTAAAGATTATCTGACATGATAATGTTCTGAAACATTATTTGCCGAAGATGTATGGTTTGTTCAGTTACAATCCATTCCAGCCAAGTTACCCTGAAAAGCATAAAATAAAATACGAGGGAAGAGTTTAATTTTAGTAAGAAACCTTCAAAGAACAAATTAATAATTGTTCTGTTTACTATCTGGGTTAGCTCACATATCTATTTTATGAGCATCAGTTAACAGCAGGAATGCATGAAAAATCTAACACTGATTATTTCCACTGCTTTTTCTTCACAATTTTCACAGTATCACCTATGTAACTTTTGCTTAATTATTTATCAAATCGACTCCAGAAAATAATTCAAAGCATCATCATGCCTTTCCAATAAGGGGTCATAGCAAGATACTTCCCTTTTCATTAGAATTACTTCATCTTACCATTCTGTTGCAATGCTACAAGCTTTAACTTTATTTAACTCCTCTTGAATAGCTTGTTTGGCTCGTATTTCAGCATCAAGAGCTGACTGTAGCTCCAACCTTGCAGACATGTCCAATTTTGCAAAGCGGCGCATCTTCCATGGCATATCCTAAAAAAATTAATTTAATTTTTGTTTAAAACTTTATAAATTATCCATATCTCCCAATAGCAATTTTGGCAACTCCTATTAGACAGGGGGTTGGATACACTTGTTGTTCTATGAAGAGAAGAGTTATTGTCAATTGTCTGTGAGGACAAGGATTCATTAGAGGAAGGTGCAACTTCCCTCTGTACCCTCCTAAATCACTTCCCACAGTGCTCTTTTATAGAAGAGCAGACTTTCAGGAGTCAAAGGTGGCTACAAAAAAACCAAGAAAAATAACTTCCTCACTTTAAAAGTCTTCTTTAAATCCATCAGAGGGAAAGTTTCAATGCAGTTGTGGAAAAAAAACTACCTCTATCCTAGTCCCACAGAAACAATCTTATCACTCAAATATATTTGATCAAAAATATTTTACTGACAAAATCTCAAATGCAACAAAACCTTTCATAATAAATAACAAAAAGTTCTTGGTATAGTGTATAAGCTGCTTCTTTGACACAGCAGAGAACAAAACTATGATTAACATAATAGTAGCTATGAGAGAAATCATATGATATGACATCATTTTAGCTTTTTCCCACTTGATTATTTTTCAGATTATCCATTTTGTTGTTTTCCAGATAACTATGTATGGTACCTGTCTTCTCTCACAGGGCAAATAACAATTTAGGGATAAGAATGTAATTTTCTTGGAGAAAACTGTGCAGAAACAAACATTTAATCCTCACTACCGTGGCCTCAAGCTATAATTATTACCTTTAAAAAAGGCAAGGGGTTTTATTCGTGAATGATTTAATCCTCACTACCGTGGCCTCAAGCTTAACTGGAGTTATTCCATGGCTATAATTATTACCTTTAAAAAAGGCAAGGGGTTTTATTAGTGAATGTTCTTTATTATGTGTAGTATGGCCCAACGGGAAGCTCATGTATTGTTATGTCTTCACAATATTGCCATCCTATAGCTGCTTAGGTCATTCACAGGACACTAAATACAGCATTTGCAGGTATTTGTATGTCATTGGGTGGGTAATAGAGTCAACACTGTTCAGAACTTTAAATACTGTATATAAGTGCATAAACCAGCACATCAGTTGAGGTAAGTCAGGGATAAGTGTTTGATAGCAGAGGAAATCCCAGTAACACACTTAGTGATGAAGCTTACTGTTGCTCTTGCGCCCAGACTGGAGTTCCTTAGGGCCTCTAGCTCTTCAGTCATTTTGGAGGCTAAGGCTTGGAGATAACCCCGTGCATCCTTCTCATCACTCACCCTAGACAAGCAATGAAAGAGACAAAAAATTGGTAAAAATAGAGGGTATGGCTTTTTGGTCAAATTAAGAGTGATGAAGAATGAAAAAGAAAAAAATGAGTTTCACAGAATGAAAATTAAAATTTATACAAAAACTAACCATGTTGTAAACTATTAACAAGGAATTTACCAGTTTTATTTTCAAAAAATGGTTATGAATCTGCCCCACCTACACATTTTCTCATGGAGAAGTCTTATGGACAGCATCAAGATTTTGTCATACTTAAGAGCAGACTCAATGAAATTGGTAAGGATTAATTTAATCACATTTAAATTAATCTGTGTAAACAGAGAATAGTTTCCTTTCAGCATAATGTAACATAATCATTTCTTAGCTCATTTACAATAGTAAAATCAGATGATGACATTTTATTTCTTTTATTGAATTATAGTGAATAAACAGATCCCCACCCCCAGGAAGCATACACACTGCAGTTTCCACAAACCATTCAAGTGTTGAATAACTGAACAGACAAAAGCAGGGACCAGAACTGGAGAAGAAATTCAAGGAGAGGAAAGCAAAGTTCAATTATTAATGTGTAAAAGAGCCCAAAGACATCCTGTCATATACAGGTGAATAAAAACTGCAAGTAAAAACATTTCTTTGACAATTTCAGTATACATCCACTCTAGTATTCTGATATCCTTTGCCATTTTCCTTCATTTATTTTGATTTTCTCATCCAAATTAATTAGTTTTATTCCGCTAATAAAAATAACACTCATTGTTATAGACAGAGAAAAGTAAACATGCCCTTTGTGACATTCCCAACTGCCAACAAATAGAGATATGCTTTTCCTTAAATAATAGTATAAACTTATACACTCAGAAGAATGGAAATCTTAGTTCAGAAGTGAAAATATGACTTCATAGGGATAACTGAAACTTTCATGACTAGCATAGAGCAATTGAAGTAATATACTACTTTCCTGTTTACTACTATAAAGTAAACAGAAAAATAGAACAGAAAGAATAGAAAGGGAGGTGAAGTAGTACTGTATGTCAAAAATGCATAGAAATACAGGAGGATGAGCTTGGTTGTCCCATCAAGAGCATATGGACTCATATAACTGGAATGAAAACCAAACATAACATGGTAGACGGAGCCTACTACCAAGTGCCTAATGAAGAAGATGTGGATGAAACCTTTGAAAACCAAACTGCAAGAATTACAAAGAGATACGATGTAATAATAATGGTATCAATTATCCTGATATCTGTTGGGAGACAAATTCTGCCAAAAAATGCATGGCTTGTGTGGCTGATGAATTTCTCCTATAAAAAGTGCAGGGAGCAACTAGAGGAGTAGCTATCCTAGACTTGATCCTACTAATTGAGATGACTTGGTGGGAAAAGTGGCAGTAAGAGGAACTCTGGGGAAAAGTGACCTTGATCATCTTGAATTCTTGATCTGATTTCAAAGGAAACAAAAGCAAAGTGTAGCCACATGTATATGCTGGATTTTCAGAAAGCCAGTTTTAAAAAACACAGAATAATGACAGGTATGGTCTCATGGCAGAAGAGCTTAACAGGAAAAGGAATCCAAGATGGGCGGGAGTTTCTAAAAAAGGAAATTCTAAGGGCAGAGCAACAAACAATTCCAACAACAACAAAAAAGCAGAATATAGCAAAAAAAAGACCAATGCAGCTTCACAAAAAGCTCAGAGAGGACCTGAAAGCACAAAATGAAAGCAGAAGCTAAGAATGAGCTGAAGTTAACAAGAGACACTAGAAGCAACAAAAAAGCTTTCTTCAGGTACTGCGCTGAAAACAACAGAATGAAATTTAACAGGGATAAGCATAACACTGATAGAGAGAAGGATCTTGGGATTTTTGTTAATCACAAGCTAAATATGAGCTAACAGTGTGATGTGGCTGCAAAAAAGGGAAATGCTATATTTAGGCAGTAATATTAAGTACTAATTTGGCACCGGTTAGGCCTCATCTTGAGTACTGTGTCCGGTTCCAGACACCACACTTTAAGAAGGATGCCAGCAAACTGGAACAGGTTCATAGGAGGGTAACAAGGATGATCAGGGGGATTAGAAACCAAGCCCTGTAAGAAAAGACTGAAAGAATTCAGCATGTTTAGCCTTTCAAATACTTGAACATTTGTCCTTTAGAAGAGGGATGGTCTCTGGTCTCGATCTTCCCAGAGTGCAGGACATGTAATAATGGGCTCAAGTTATAGGAAGCCAGATTTTGGTTGAGTATCAGGAAAAACGTCCTAACTGTTAGAGCAGTATGGCAATGGAACCAATTATCTTAGGAGGTGATGAGCACTCCAACACTGGAGGCGTTCAAGAGAAAACTGGACAACCATCTGCCGATATGGATTCCTGTATTGAGCATGACATAGAACTCAATGGCATTATAGGACCCAATACATTATTCTATGTTGTTTAATTCATTGTTGTTTCTTTTAAATCACTAAGAAAATTTGCAAATGCATTCTTTAGTCTATAAGAAGTATGTGAAGGGAAACAACTCACCTTTTCTCATCAGTGCTCAAATGACTGCCACTTTTAGGAGGTTGATTTTATGTTCTCAGTGTTGCCCAAATCAGAGTCCTGTTTTTGTTTTGTTTTTTTATCCAGGCTCTTTTTGTAATCAAGGTGTGCAAACTGCAGGATATACCTTAACAATATACTTGTTTACAGCTTTGGGGTTTATTCCTCCATGGTAGAGTTTGACTGCTTTTTTTTGTTTAATTGTCTTGGTTGTTGTTTATTATTGAATATTGGTTTGTGTTGTGAAAGCTTTTATTGTAAGCTCCCTGGAGTAATGGCCTGATCACCAGATGGGCAAGGTGAAAACTGAATTAATTAAATAATTAAATATTTGGAAAAAACCCATGACATTGTTGTGATTCTTTATGTGTTGCATCTTTAAAAACTAGACTTTCAGTGAAAATGGATTATGATCCTTGGGTTTGAATTATGTCATTTTATAAATGTAGCTACAATCTTGGACTACATCCAGGGTTTCAGAGCCCAGCTCATATTGAACAACCATGTTCAAAAGCCAAAACAATGTCTAAATATGGGCAGTAAAATTATACTGAATATGCAAACGCAGTCTAGTTTGCAAGGCTTCCTTAAAAAGACTATCTTTATTTTAGTGCAAAAATTAAATTATACAACTCCTATGAAAGCAGATAAAGTGGATAAAAACATTTTAAAAATGAGACTGTTATAAGACTCTAGTTTGAAATAATGTAACTGATCGGTAGAAACATTTAGATACATATAGAGGTGTTGTTGTTTCGCAGAAGTCACATTTTACAAATGATGCAAGAATGGGGGGAAAGGAAATATAAATTAAATACAAAAATATATATTGTTTAACTTGCAGTTTAAACTTACACCAGTAGTTTTCTGTCCAAGCACTTTAAAAGGAGAAGAACTATGTAAGTCTGAGAGAGAGTTTAGAAAAGATTATCAGAAAGTCTTTTTGCATTCTGTGCCACAACTTCCAGGTTAGAGGGCCAAATCAAGATAGTCTGTATTTATTTGGAATCCTGAATTCAGAGCACAAAATCAAAGATTATCTCTCAGTAATTGTTAAATATCAAACAGATAAATGTAAGTTATTTAAGATAATGAAAATTAAAAATGAAATGTTATTTCTTTTATTTCTATTTGAACCCCCCCCCAAAAAAAAAACCCCACACCCCATGATGGTACGAAAGCTTGAAATTGTATCTGGAGACTGAGCAATTGCCTCTCCTGTATCAGAAATGAATACACCTTGTTCTTTGGGAGACAGTGTTCAGATGGAAGATACTCACCACTGGATGATCTCGGTGATTTGGGCTTCCCAGTGTGCCACAGATTCCTTTTTGTCAGCAAGATCTCTCATCTCTTCTTCCAGTTGCCGGTTATTCATACTTAATCTTTCATACATAGCTGTAAGCTAAAGACATTTTAAAGACAGAATTAGTCTTCCTATTGGCATGAGTATGACCTGGTAGCCAAATTATATTTATCATGTACTTTTAGAATGGAATTTTTTTACAAGGAGGGTGGTAGCAATCACACATGCTCTATATGTACGTACAGATTTTAGACAACAAGCTTCCTTTGTGTTATATTTTTGTTTTATTATTTATTTTCAACCGGTTAATTTTTGTAAAAGCAAATTATGTTGGGATGAAAAGATGGAGGATATATTAAATTGTCACTATCACTGTGTCATCAATTAAACTACTTATTTTTATTCCAATTTACATTAATACCCTAGTCCACTACTTATTTTATCTCATTGGATGCAATATCCATAAACATGATTAAAAAAAAAACAAATGGGAACAGGGAGCCCGCTTACAAATTCCTTACTAATTTTGACCATTTAGCCCAATTATCACTTTCTTGTAGAAAAAAAAATTATTCTTTTCCCAAAGTGCATTCCTGTGCAGTGATCATTTTAGAATAGGACTCTTGTACACTCACCTTATCAAGTTCACTGGAAAGCTTTTTGTTCTCTTCTGTCAGTAGAATCTTCTCTCTTTCATACTTCTGCTTGAACTCTGTTTCAAATTCCTCCCTTTCAGTTTGGCTAAAGTAAAATATTAAATGTAATCAATTGCTCGTATACATGTAAACAGTATGTATGTGTTGCAAAAATTTTTGCAGAATATTAATGACTGCCAGTAATACATACAGTACATATACAAGTCCATTGGAACTGGAATGACATGATTATCTGCTTAGCCTCAGATAATGTGATGAAACAGTGTGCTTTACATTAGCATTATAAAATTAAACTTTAAAATGTAGGATTATAAGACTCCAAAGACATATTTTGTTGTTTTTAAAAGGGTTAGGTTGCAATTTAAGCGGGGAGAGTTAAGTCTTTGGCCCTGAAGTCCCAAGTCTGAGTCTTTGATACCAAGTCCTAAACTTGGTCCCAAGTCCGAGACTCTATTAGAAACAAGCTGTCTTCCCCAGAAAAAAAGAGAGAGGTGGGTGGGTTCTCTGTCACAGGTCAAGTCTGAGTAATTGAAAAAAAAAACCTGAGTTGAGTCACTGGTGTGATACCAGTAAGTCTAACTTGACAGCAAGTCTCACAACTCGAGTACCCATCCCTGGAGAGCTGTAAGTTTATCCTCCTCAGATCTATTGTGTCCATGGGGAGAGAACCAGTCTGAAGAGGAAAGCTGCCTCTATGTGTCTGATGGATTTTCTATTTCTATTCTACATATAGAAAATCCCTCACACAACAGATACAATCTATCTCCTATTTATCATGCTGCCCTTTCATCCATCCCCAGAAAGATTAGGACCACACACACTAGAAAGACACTATTAACGACTGTTAACAATCCATGACAATGGGTGGAGAAAGCAATCATTATGTTAGACTGCACAGGGAAGCCATTGAAATCCATACACAAAACTTCAACAGGAAAGAAGAAGGCCTGAAACTAACCCCAGCCTGGCGCACCATCCTGAAAAATACAACCTGCAAAAGGTCAACAAACTCTTACCCAGCCACAAGGGCCAGAGATCATTGCACAAAAAAGACCAGCTAACGACACCCATCAATCACTGTGACAGATAATCTCTCCCTCTCCCCCCTCATCAAAACAAAAACATGCTGATCACCCTATCTCCTGAAAAAAAGACAAAAGCTGTTCCCACAGCTATAAATACTATCCAACAAACACCAACAGAGCATGGAGAGAGTTCCTGCTCCAGTCCTCTGAAGATGCCGGCTACAGAGACTGGCAAAACGTCAGGAAGAACAACCTTCAGAACACTTCCAAAAAGCCCAAAAAAACCCACAACAACCAAACCTAGAGTTCTCTGTATGGCAGTCATTTCTACTTTATTGCTCTGAAAGAATTTCCACAAATCTGGAACATTTAAAGTTCAGGATAAGGTTTCTAATTCAATATGCTTATTCGTTTTTATAACCCTCTGCAGTTCTGAAGCCCAGCCAGTATAAAAGAGGTGCTGCCATATATGGTCCCAGGATCTGCAAAGCTCCTATGCCTGAAGATTCCTATTAGATTAATAAAATGAGCATAATGATAACAAAATCTAGCATCTGAATAATGCATATGCCAATTTACCAGAAATAACCTGCCATAACCTGAGCTGTGTAAATTCTACTCAGCAACATCATGAACAAACATATAGACAACAGCTTTGAAAATTTCACAACTGGCACTGAGCTCATTTTTCCATGACACTTCAAAGTTTTTTCCTAACAGTACTGTACCCGCCAGATGCATAGTTGCATGTTGGAGAGAAAGAATGAGAGAGCAAAAAGATACCCCTGTAGTATTTTGGGAAACACTCCCTACTTTGGGGACGAACATCAGTACAAGGGTTTGACTATTGTCCTCTTTTCTTGCTATATCTCCTGGAAAGTTTCTGAAGAGGACTGAGGGACTCTTTTGAATGACGTAGAAAGGAGACATGGAGGACTGCAGAAGGATGAAGCTTGTTACACAGGATGGAAGAGCTCTGCTCCATCCACCACATTCTGTTCATGTGCATCAGGATCCAAACATTCAAGGAGACCTCTAGCATTTCTATGTTTTTCTAGCATTCGTTTTTTAATATAACAGCTCTATTGTTCCACAAGTTGAATTTCTACATCTCAAGGGAAAAGCCATAAAATGTGTTGAACAGATTTTACACACAATGACTGCTTAATATGTGAGAATGGAACATATGGGGGAGGGGAATCCTCAAACAACAGAGATTTATATAGAACACAATGGCAAGAATCCTATTCCTGCAGCCATGTACATTATGTGTAAGATTAATGATGTCATCAGCCAGGGATTTACTCTGTAATTAAAAGTTTTCTATTTTCTCTCCAACCCCCAGATTCCAATGCTCCCCTAGGGAATCCTTTCAAATAATGGAAACCTTTGGGGTCTTTGGAATGGAGGAGAGGGAGCCATTCATGCCTGTGAATAATCATGCCAGTCCTGCAGTGCACTTTAAAAGCAGAAGAACTGGGCTGTGTCAGTCAGAGAGAAGAATTTAGAAAAGATGACTGGAAGGTCTCCTTGCACTATATGCTACAAGTGTGATCAAAGAACCAAAACAAAACAGAGCACATATGGGAGAGTGATGACCAGTTTTGTGGCATTAAAGCACCCCCCATCCTGAAGATCCCAAATGCTTCCCCAGGGCAAAAGGAATCCCTAAGGAGACTTAGAACCTGAGGTGGGGGTAGGAATAGAAAACCTTTAATTAAAGTCTTTGACTGATGACATCATCAGCCTTACAAGTGTGAAGCTGCATGAATAGGATTCTGGTCAATTAATGACTAAGTGGGCTTTCATAGATGGCAGGCCCCATTTTTAACAATCTGAATTACCCAGGGACACTGATTGGAGGTTACTGAAAACAGTGCTTTGAATAGGTATCTTTTTAAAAATTGCTGATCCATGCTACTAGCTTTAAGTGTGGTAGCTTCAACTGCTGATATAACATTTAAGCAGAGCTGAGGGCACTTGGGAAAGGTGGTCAGGGAGACAGAGTGCTCAGTCCTACAGTCTGCTCCTAGTCTTTTAACTGCAGTAAAGAAATCTCCTTAATTATGTCTGCACAATGTATCTGGGATAGAATTTAGTGAGGTATTCATAACAGTTCTCTAACATTGTCCAGAAATGTTTATCAGACACTACTGGGCAGCTATAGTGAAACTTAGGAAGGGCATTTCTGTTATGAATTCCTTATTTCTAATTTGAAATTCATTTACTTTTTCAATCAGACTTCAAAATACAGAAAAAGCAGTATCAGTCTCAACTTTGAATCTGTAAGCTGCTAGATATCATTTGAAACATAACTCCTTATTTTAACAGTGCCACATATTAATCACTGCTGTTTAACCTCTAATTCTGTAATCCAACACCACACTTCCCTCTCCCCAACTAACGGATTCCATGCATATGATGAACAACCTGGGGAAAAGCCAAAAAAGATAAAAAAAAGCATTAACTGTCAGGGGAACGTCAGCTATGTGGGAGATATGGATTTAAGGCTAACTTCTCAGACAACAGATTGAGACATTTTTAATTATGCATTGGATTACATTTTTGTCCAAGTCCTGTACATTTACTAACTTTACTCCTTCTAATATTGCTTTTTTTTCATTCACAGCTTGTCTAGAAGTAGCTTTTAATATGCATTTGCAATTCAGAACGGGACAATGGGTAAATATGATGTGACACTTTAAGTTAATCAATTTGGTGGCAGTCTTAGAGATCTGATGTGCTGAAAGCCACAACTGGGTCTTCCACAGATATTATCCTCATAAAAGAACCAAAACTAATATGGTGCACATAGAAAAACCAGGAATTAAGTTAGTTTGGTAGTTCTAAATGCAAGGTCAGGAAATAAGTGACACTTAAACTAAGCAAACAAACACTTTAAGGATACAGTAGAGTCATGTTTGTGTTCTTTCAAGCCCTTTTCTTCATCAAACACTACTCATCTGCACAGTTCACTACTAATTAGCTCAAAATTTAAAAAAAGCAGAAACTGCAGAACATGTGAATTCATTTGAGGCTACAATACTGTGTACATTTACTTGGGAGTCATGCTTGACCTTAGTGAAACTAACTTCTGAGTAAACATGCAGAGACCAGACTCTTAAGTGTCATAAAACTCAATGGAAATACTCTCGTCTGTATTCTACATTATATTCCCATTTATATCCTGGGTTCATATTACACCATAAGAAGATTCTCTAATTTTAGATGTCTTTATGAGATGCCATCACCCTTTAAAAAAACCAGTTTCAGAATAGAAGAACAGAAATAGTGCTCTCTTGTTACTTCAAAATAGAGTAATAATCTTTGAAATCATTCACATCATTCAATGTCTATACAACAGTCCTCCAGAGCAGATTCTCAGGGCGTACGGGGAGTCAAAATCATTTCCCTCCCAGTTCCACTGATGGAAGGTCAGATCCACAGCACTGTGATCACAGAGCTTATCTTGCTCTTTATATCTTGGTCTCTTTATAAAGGTCATCTACTGCAGATTGTTTGGCTTCCTATTTTTCACAATAATCCTTTTTAGTAATTTTGCCCTGTGTATTTCCAGACTATTTTAAATCTAGTTTCCTTTCTACTTTCTGTAGTATCTAAGATGATATTTTAAAAATAATAGTAATTGTAAAATTATATGTACAATTACAAATGAATTGTAATATTTTGATGGCATTTATAACCAGAAAGAAAATACTGAAACAAGCAGCTGGACTAAAATCCACTGAAGACCATATTAAAAGCAGGGAGTGTGACTTCTTCAAAAGCAGTTAAAAGATAACTCAGAAGTAAAGGAAGAATAGTGGAAACTGCTTGGTTGATGGTAGGGAGGCTGAAATCCACTACAATTTCTACTTAGTATGTCTAAAGGGTTTGCCTCAGCACTTCAATGTCTTGATGGGTAGCAAAAAAAAAACTACTGTTAGGACACAATAAGGAAAGATAGAATAGCTTCCTATAGGCAAAGGTGTCAGATGAGGGTGCATTTTATCTACTTATCTGTTCAATATGTCCACAGAACATATCATACAGAAAGCTTGACTACATTCAGATGAAGGAGGAGTGAAAAATAGTGGAAGAAACAGCAGTAATTTAAGATATGCAGATAATACGAGTTTCCCTATTTTTAATTGTTGTTGTAATTATGCTGTTTTATGTTTTTGTATTTTATCTCTGTTGTTGGCCGCCTAGAGTAGTCCACCACGACTAGATAGGCGGGATATAAATTAAATAAATAATAATAATAATAATAATCATACGATCTTACTGGCAGAAAGCAACAATTACTTAAAACAACTTTTGGTGAAAGTGAAGAAGAAAGTGCCAAAGCAGGACTGCAGTAAAACATGAAAAAGACAAAAATCGTGACTGCAAGAGGACTACATAACTTTAATGTTGACAATGAAGAAACTGGAATAGTTAGAGATATTTTGTATACCTTGGTTCAATCAACAATCCTAATGTAGACCACAACCAAGAAATCAGAAGAAGAATGAGAATCAGAAGGGCAGCAATGAAAGAAATAGAAAAGGACACCAAGTGTAAGGATATGTCACTGGAGATCAAGGTCAAGATCATCCACATTACTGTATTCCAAATCACTATGTATGGGTGTGAAAGCTGGACAGTAGAGAAGGCTGACAAGGAAAAATGGATTAACTTGAAATATGCTGCTGGAAGAGAGCTTTGTGGGTTCCCGGACAAGCAGAAATATGAACAAGTGGTCCTAGAGCAAATCATGCCTGAAATATCACTGGAGAAAAAGTTGACAAAACTAAGGTTGTCATACTTAGGACATATCATGAGAAAGCAAGTTTATCTGGAAAAGGCAATAATGCTAGAAAAAGTTGCAGGAAGCAGAAAAGAGGAAGACAACAGCACTGTGTGGCTTGAGGGTTTGCTGATATGGTCACCTGATACCATCTGGTTGGGGTAGGACTAGAAGAAGGAATAGATGTAAGATATGTAACCTCTCTTATCCTACGTGGGTATGTTCTACCCCCACCATCATTCCTTCCCCTACCCAGCACCACCTCAATGGCTGCTCCGGCTGCCCTCTCCAATGCCTTCCCCCCTTCTAGTTCCCTCAGATCCATTGTGAGTTTCTACATATGTAACCTGATGGCAACTGATAATCAGAATAAAAACCCCTTCTAAAGCCCCTTCTCTCCCACCGCCCAGCCAGGTGGCTGATGTTGAGGAGGGGGTGGGGCAGCCAGAGGCACCAAGGGCCCAGTCCCGCAAGGCCCTTGAAGGGAAAAAAAAAAAATCCACTCCTGAGTGTTTAGACTATATATGTATCCCATTGTTAATTCAAGTTTTCCAATTGATCCCTTCACAAAACGGAACCTGCCATTTGCACCTCGTGGCGCAGTGGTTAAACCGCTGTATTGCAGCCAAAACTGTGCTCACGACCTGGGGTTCAATCCCAGGTAGCTGGCTCAAGGTTGACTCAGCCTTCTATCCTTCCGAGGTCGGTAAAATGAGTACCCAGCTTGCTGGGGTGGGGGGCAATGTGTAGCCTGCATAATTAACTTGTAAACTGCTTGAAGCACTATGGGGCGGTATATAAGCAGCACGCTTTGCTTTGCTTTGCTTTTAACTCTCCTTCATACTGGAAATTTATCTGAGGGGAGAAGTTGATCGTGATTTAGAAGAGCCTGCAGCTGAATGACAGATTAATCTAGTTCATGATGAGTCCTCTTTGTCCTCATGATGAGTCCTCTTTGTGGATTTAGAAGAGCCTGCAGCTGAATGACAGGAGATTAATCTAGTTCATGATAAGGGGGGATGAGTCCTCTTTGTGATGGGTTTCTTGAATCATTAATATGTCAGGATCATCATGTTTTATTATGTTCTGGATTGCCTTCATTTAATTAAGGATCCCATTCCACTGATGCTGAAAGATGCTACTTTCAGATATGGCATCTTCATTTAAGATAGGATGGATCCTTAAGTTGACCTGAGAATGGCTATAGTTTAGATGCCATAGAAAATCAATTAGAATTCCAGATAGTGATGAAGGCAAAGTTTAAAACACGACATATAGTATAATATGAAAAACAATTTGTGGCACACTAACCATGGCAAAAAAGCCCCTCTAATACTAGTTCTGACACAGCCTTTTAAGTAGGGAGTTCCAGGCTGTCATCCTAAGGTCAATAGGAACAAGAGGGCAAAATCTGGGGGAATGTAGATGGGACAACATAAATATTCTTTTTACATTTCTCCAGCAATACTAATAAACCTTGTTAAATCATTTTTTTGCAAAATACTCAAAGGAATATTTTGAATGAAGTCAGAAGAATTCTAATTAGATAAAATTCTCACAGAATTAACAACCACTTATCTTATTGCTGTATGGGGTGGACATGCAGCTGGCTTTCCTTTTTCTTTACCACTCCATAGGAGGTAGTAGCAATGATCCAAAATATTCCTTTTCTGATAAAAATTTCTCCAGGATCAATTATATACAAGGATAGGTTGAAGTTGAAAACTCCCCCCCATTGTGATTGATAATCAGTTTTATTCAATGCCCCCACCTGTATGTTATTCCTTTTTCATGTAAGAGACTTGTGAATGGCTGTTATATTTTGCAGTATTGTAAAATTAAGGGACAAAGAGCTTTATAAAGTTGTATGTTTGCATCAGGTCATCCTCCCATTCTACCCATGGGTGATCATTCCAAAGGAGGATGGGAAGTTGTCAAATAGAAACTAGGCTTTCTCAGTAGTAGCCGTGCTGCTTTGGAACTCTCACCCTCCTGAGCTTTAGTAAGCAAATTAAAACATGGCTTTTTACCCCAGGTTTTTGAAAGCCTCATCTCTTTTTAATCTTAATTTCTAGGCAATTTGTGACAACCCCATGGTTCATCATCTTGAGTTTTGTAATGCTTGCTAGATTGGTTTTTCTTAGGATGGGGTTTTGCTTTTTTATGTTTATTATTTCAATTTTGTCTGAATATTTATGTTATTTTTTTGTAAGTTGCCCAAAGTAGTGGCTTGTCCACCAGATGGGAAGGGTATAAGTTTAAAAATAGGTAAGTAAGTAAACAAACCAACAAATAAATAAGTCAATCAATCAGTAAGTCAGTCAGTTCCAAATTCTGGAGAACTGACTCTGTTTTTTCAAACTAGAGCACTTGCCTTTGTTATGCAGGAACTCAATTTGGACCTGCAGATCTGCCCTGCAGGCTGTCAGAATTTTTATAGACTGTCAATGCTCACTATCTTAAACAGCTGTTTACTGTCAGATGCTTCAATCATTTCTCCTTATTAGTTTATTATAAGGTTTTTGGCGAGTCTCAGGAGATCAAGCACAAGCAGTAATTTTGTCTGTGTTGTCACACGCCCCCCATCATTATTAACTTTGTTTTTGCCATATTAATAATATTTAGGGACTAAAACTATCATTTACCCAGGCAGTACCATATGTATACTTTTGCCCTTCTGAACAGTATGAATTATAACTCCAAGAGAACTGGAATCTATTTTCAAGATTTAATAAATCCAACTTAAACACTTAAAATAGATACGGGCACATGCATAAACATGATACAATTAACCTGGGTTTTATTGGTCAATACCACTTCAGTGCCCTGTGTCATTTCTTTTGTCATGAGGCAGAGAAAAACAAACCAGTCTGTTAGAAAAGATAAAAACGGTTTGTGTCTATAGTAGATTAATGACAGATGTTGTCACTGGATGAAGCTTCGAACAGAACAACCTCAAGGCATCTTGTGCTAGCAGAAACTATAAACAACACCTGAACTCTAATGTATCACCTGTTCACATCAAAGGCAAACAATCAACCTGGCAGAAGGAGTGACTACAAAGCATACCAACACATAGACCAAAGATATTAGAAGTAAATTCCCCCACAGCAAAGTAGACAATTCAGAAGAGAAAAGGGCAACAAATGATACAAGCTGTTTAATGCCGTTCCTTGTTCCAACTTTTATGTATTTCTTGGTTTGGGACAAAAATTAAGTGCTTTTCACCTTTTTCAACTCTATCCATTTTTTTCTTGAGAAAAGCATACACTCTGTAGACCAAAAAGTAGCTCTACTTTCCTACATTTCTCTTATATGAATATCTTATCTAACATTGTAAAATAGTCTCTAGTGGGTTATTACTTTCTGACATGGGTGGAACAATAGGTGGAAAGGGCAGACAAGAGTTTTAAACTGTTCCATTGAAAATGTGTACAGTACATGTAATAAAGCAAGGCATATCTCAGCGTGCCCTCTCCCATTACCTTTGAGAAATCTGAGCTCAGACAAAGAAAAAGCAACAAAAACCTCACAACATCTACACAGATGCATTTTGCTAATGTTTACTGCTAGAACTGCTCCCATTTCTGTGTACACAGTAAAAGTATGATTGAATTCTATCACCATCAGCAATCCCTGAGGTTTGCTCAGAATATTTTGGCCAGCAGAAAAAGAAACAGTTGACCTCTGCCAATTCTATTCTAACACAGCATTGCTCTCCCAACTCAGTGTTCTCAAGAGGCCTGCAGCTCTTTAGAGGAGATCTGGAGTGGCATAGAAGACTGCAAGCTGAGGGAGAAGTAAGTAAAGACAGCTGCCTTGTCACTTTTGAAAGCAGGATTTCTAGATTGAACAGAAGCCTCTTACAGACTAAATCCTTCTTTTTGATAGGGGCAGACTGTGGATCTGATATACTGTATAATGTTATGGGACATAAGGCACATTCAATAGCGTTTTTGGATAGTGCATCACAGTAAGGATGAAGAACTGTTCAACTTCTTCCTAATATTAGAACTGGGTAAATTCACTGTATGCATACTAAAATACTTGAAATCTTATCTACAGTCATTTTATTTGATTTGTAACTGTGGTGTTTCTTTTACTATAGTCTTGCAGAGAAATATATGAACAGTGGGTCGTACATATAAACAGGTAAGCCAGTGGCCAAATAACTCAGTTGTGCTTACCTTTCACGTCTTGTTTTTTCTAACTTGTCTTTCAAGATTAGGATCTCTTTTTTGAGAGCAAGTTGTTGACTCTCTGCATCACGCAGTTCTTTCTTCAGATTTTTTATTTCATTGCAATGCATTACTTCTCGTTTAGACAGTTCTTCTTCATAAAAAACATTCTTCTTTTCCAAGTCAGCTTTCAATTTAGTGATCTCTTGCTGATGTTCCGTGCTACTCACTCCAGGGGAGCGACCCATTTGTTTCTGCTGTAAAAAAGGGGGCACCTAAGAATTAGCTTTGATGAACTGCCTAACTATAAAAATGTGAGTTTAGGAATCCTCTCTCTCTCTCTCTCTCTCTCTCTCTCTGTGTGTGTGTGTGTGTGTGTGTGTGTGTGAAAGCACGGAATAATTTAGTATATATAAATTTTACTCTTTCAAAAATCAGTGTCAAGGTAAAGTAAAAGCAGGGCCCAATGTGCTACATGGCATCAAGACACAGATTAATTAAAGATAGCATGAGCTCTTACATAGCTACATGGATTAGAATTGTGCCAGGTGCACTAAAAGCACTGCAGTATACTTGATTCACTATAACTACATCTGGGAACCTCAGACAAATACCTTACTATATTATTATTGTGTGCCTGTACAGGGAAAAATTATGCTAAGGATAACAAGGCACTAACTTGCATACCTCACTGCTGTAGGTACTAGAGTAATTTTTAAAGCTCTAATAGGCAGTGCTTACATTTTCAAATGGCAAAATCAACAAACACTAACCTTTAGTCCTTCTAATTCATTTTCCAGCTGCTTAGAATACTGTTCACTTCGCTCACGCAACTTCCTGTCCTTAGATGCCTCTGCAGCTGCAGCTTCAGCATGTACTTCCAGCTACAATAATAATGTTTAAAATCATAACCAGCTTTTGAACACTAGTTTTCTTTAATACATCACACAAGAAAAAGGAATCATACAGTACCCTGTTCCTAACTGTTTGGGATACTTGAGTAGGCATAACAGCAATGTATCCAACATAATGGATGCTCCGCGCAGTGCAGAGCAGCCGCCGCGGTAGTGCTTTGCCTGCCCACTCGGAACTGATGAGCGCAGGCTTTTGACAGAGAGGCGGGGGGGAAGAGAGTCTGGGTGAAGAGCCTTTATTGGGCTGGCTCCCCCTATATCGGCCTCTTTCGTGGCATGGCAGCATGGAGAATGGAGGGCTGTTGGGTCCTCTGAGCAGTTTCGTGCTGCCTCATGGTGCTGCATCAGAGGCCTATGAGTTTGGGGTGTTGCGGGGTGCACCCCCGCAGTTTCACAGTCGTTTTGGGGTTGAGGCTGCTGAAGCCTCTTGGATGTTTAGTCCATATATATATAATCATTTTTTATTATGGTCACATACCAGCAAGATTACCGTATATAAAAAAAAAACATACAGAACATACAGAAAGGATGTTTAGTCCATATATATATAATCATTCTTTATTATGGTCACATACCAGCAAGATTATTAAAAAAAAACCATACAGAACATACAGAAAAAAACTCCTTTATTTAGTATATAAAACCTTCTTTCAGGGTGATTGCACCATTTACTCTCTAGTTCTCATAGCAATCAACAAAAATTTAGACACAGGCACCAGGATTTAGTGAAGGATTTAGACAGCAGTCATTTCCTCCCATCTAAGATACGGTATATAATTCCGTTTCTCGCAGGGCTCTCCCTTATGGGGATCAGTCCCTGCTGCTGGGGGACCATCTCCTACCAGCCACAGTGAAAAAAATATGGAGGCAAAAATACATAGACATTTTTGATTTGCTAAATAGGCCATTAGAGGAGAAGAAAGGGGACAAAGAGGAAGACAAGTGAGGGAAAAATTTAGGAGAAAGAAGCCTGAGAAGTGCTGGGCTAACTGGCTTCAAGGTTTTTTCATTTATGCTGGAATCACTGTGAAGGCGCAACCTTTGCATGCTTTTTTACTGATTCAATATACGGACTTGATTTACCGGGCCTACGTGGATTTCCCAGGGCATGTGTGGCTTCTCTATGATGAGGGGTTCTGTATGAGATTCACCCAGAAATGTGCTGGAATGTACATTACTACGGGTTATGGTTACAGTTGATGACCTCGTCTCGTCTCAATTTGGGTGACCACTTTGACAGCGGTCATTTGACACACAGTATGATTTTTTTAAAAAACAGATCATTTTAGACTATTTCAAATATTTGCTATGAATATCTTACAGTCGCATATCTTCCTCTTGAATTTTTTCACATTCTCCCAGTTTGGGAACAACAACGTAATTTATTTTTGAGAAAAACTGATATATCATCATACTCTATAATCAGATTGTATGCCTTGTTCTCTATGCCTAGCCATAAAATGGTGGTATCAGTGGTTTTCCTATATTTTCTTTAACCACTTAACACACTGAAAAGCTCTTTTGTTTTTAATGTTTCAGCATTAATGGTCTTCCAATTTTAAAAATTTTCCAAACCTTAGAATGCCAGACTGAAAATACACAACACTTCTGATATACAAAGAATTACAAAGAAATGACAAAAAAGGTGAATTCTTCACTAATTACTACTACCTGCCAATTGAAAACACTGGGAAATACATTAAATTTTGAACAACTCTTTCCTGCCAGTAATTATTCGAAGGCAACTTACTTCCTTTTTCATTCTGTCTGTTCTGCGCAGCTCTTGCTTCAAATTTTCTATTTTTTGCATCACCACTTCCATCTCTTCTTCCTTATCTCTGACCTGACGGGTAAGTTTCTGTTTTTGTGAATGTAGGTCTGTAAGTCGCTCATTCATCTCAGAGAATTCCTGCATGGCCAGTTTCCGCTGACTGTGTGCATCTTTCAACTCTTTGGTTTGGGCCTTTAATCTTTCACTAGACTCAATTAGCTCCTGCAGTTAAAAAAAAAAGGACAGCATATCTTTAAGTTTTAGATGTCTACAATACAGGGAGTGCTCAAGTTCTCAATGGAACTAATGTTAACAAAAGTCAAAAGCCTCCCAAAACTGAAACAAGAAATGCTGTGCAGAATCTAAGCCCTATGAGGAACAAACAGTTCAAGACATTTGTATGTTTATCCTGGAGAAGAGAAGAATAAAAGGCAATGTGATAGTCATCTTCAAGCTTATTTTCTGTAGCTCCAGAGGGTATTGCCTGAAATAATAGATTAAAGTTATGAGAAGGCAGATTTCGCTTAGATGTTAAAAAGAAATTTTTGATAGTGAAAATTGTTCAACAAAAGAAGGGACTGCTTTAGAGGATAGTTTCATCAGAGAATTTTAAACAGAAGTTAGATGGCCAACTCTCAGGCATGCTTTAGCTTTAGATTTTCTGCTTTGGCAGGAAAGTAGACTCAATTACTCTTGGAGCCCCTTCCAGCAATATAGTTGTATTATTCTTTGGCTGTGAAATCAGTCACCAAACAGTCACATGAAGGATAGCCAGCTGTACAACTGCCTTGTGTATGTGACTTTTCCTAACAGTATTTTCATCTTTAACTTTTCTTATGTTTGCTCTTATTCTTTAAATTTTATTGCTATTTTTTAATATTCTAATTTTTAAAAACATTTCTACATCATTTTGACTGATTTGTTTTTATTGACAAATCTGTGATTTTACAGATTCCCCTCCTCTTATATTTGTAAACAGCACTATGTGTTCTGGCAAGTTTGAACGGTCTTTAACATTTAAATAAAAAAAATGTCCAGAATTGTACTGCAAATAGCCACATACACTTCATACTGATGTTTGTTTAAGATTTGCATTAGTTGCTGAAGCTAAGTGACAAAATGTTGGGCATGTCTCAGCTGCAGGTCTGGTCATGCACTGGACTATGCAATCAGGACATGCTCTGACAAGTTGTACAGACACCAGTAGTACTCAGGCCTATAATTTAGTAAGTTTGCGTCAGCTTTGGCAAGCACAGCCAGAAGATGCAATCAAATGACATCTGGAAGGCCATAAGCTGCCCATCTCTGTATTAATGAAATGAAAAATAAAGTACATTAGCTTCATCATTGTCATTTAGTCATGTCCGACTCTTCGTGACCCCATGGACCAGAGCACGCCAGGCCCTCCTGTCTTCCACTGCCCCCCGGAGTTGTGTCAAATTCATGTTGCTATTACTTTGGGATTTTTCTGCACAGGTACCAGCAAGTACTGTACTGAAGGCAGGACTTTGAGGGACTACTCAACAAGGGGACCTACTCAGCCAGAGGACACCACTGCCACCAAAACAGCAGACCTGGCTTATACCTCATTGCGGGTCAGCTTTCTTTATGGTCCAGCTCTCACTTCCATACATCACTACTGGAAAAACCATAACTATGCGGACTTTTGTTGGCAAGATGATGTCTCTGCTTTTTAAGATGCTGTCAAGGTTTGTCATTGCTTTCCTCCCAAGAAGCAAGTGTCTTTTAATTTCGGGGCTGCTGTCTCCATCTGCAGTGATCATGGAGCCCAAGAAAGTAAAATCTGTCACTGCCCCCATATCTTCCCCTTCTATTTCCTAGGAGGAGATGAGACCAGTGGCCATGATCTTAGTTTTTTTGATGTTGAGTTTCAGACCGTTTTTTGCACTCTCCTCTTTCACCCTCATTACAAGGTTCCTTAATTCCTCCTCACTTTCTGCCATCAGACTGGTATCATCTGCATATCTGAGGTTGTTGATATTTCTTCCGGCAATCTTTCCTCCAGTCCAGCCTTTCACATGATGTATTCTGCATATAAGTTGAATAAGCAGGGGGACAATATACAGCCTTGTCGTACTCCTTTCTCAATTTTGAACCAATCAGTTGTTCCAGATCCAGTTCTAACTGTTGCTTCCTGTCCCACATATAGGTTTCTCAGGAGATAGATAAGGTGGTGAGGCACTCCCATTTCTTTAAGGACTTGCCATAGTTTCATACTATATGCCAAATCAAATATCATTGCTTCATGATTCAGGCAGACAAGTACAGTGCCATTTATTAACACACTTATTAACATCCACAATTTCTTGTGTTATCTTTCACCTGATAGCAAATACACTTTCAAGGAGCCCTCTATAAGCAAAACACTGTTCTCCTGAAACACTCATCTGAAATAAGTTGGTAACATCTCTCAATTTCTAGTCATATTTTACAAATATGCAAGGCAACTGTAGGTTAATTTAAAATGTCATTGACTGAAATCAGCTCCCTGTGTGCTCTGGGAATAATGTTATTCCCATTGCACAAAGAGAGCTGTGCAACAGGATTTCAGCTATTATATTACAATGTTGTGATGGCTTCTATTGGACTACATTTTTTATTAAAATTATTTCCCATATCAATGAATTTATGTCTTGTTTCTCCATCCATGGAATTCTCAATGACATATATATTCATACAATATCTCTAAGACACAAAATCCCTATTTTGGACTTCATATTATTTTACTAAGTCTGGAACAGTTCTATGTTTTGCCATGTAATAACCATTCCAAATGGAGACCAAGAGATCCTCAATAAAGAGCAGTGACCCCATGGAACAGTTTAAAATGTGGAATTAGTACTATAAAACCAATCATTTCACAATGCTTGTGGTGGCAGGCTGATACATTTATATAATATAATCATGCTTTTCTGTATAACTGTATTAAAACCCTGTCAATCTCAGCTAAAACATTCTGCTTCTGAAAAGGACAGTGTTACTGTTTCTAAATAAAAGCACAGGTGAAATTCTCTTTACCTTATTAAGATCTTCCCTGTCTTGCTTTAGTGCTTTGATTTGCTTTTCAAAGGCCTTGATTTGTCTGGCAGCATCTTCTAACTCTTGTCTTGCAGAACTGGCTTCTTCAAGTTGCTGTTCCAATCGCCCAGAATCTATGAAAGAAAATCATAGCTAAAGTGATTGATAATCATTGGTAAAATATAACCATTAAAGCTCAGTGCTATACAATAATGATCAGCCACTTAAGGCTAAATCAAACCTACTGAGGAGTATTTTTATAATTTTGTTAAACTTTTAAATCCATCATATTTCCTGTCTCCATACATTAGCCACCAATACACCAATATCTGCTGGACTGAAAATTTGCAGGAGGCAGAGCTACAAGAGCATCCGAATTTTATATGTCACCTGGCCATCTTTAAACTTAGTATTTAACACTTTGCAACTACAGTATTAAATTATTCAAAGAGAAATGAAAAAGAATAGCAGAAGAAATGCAGAAAGTTCAGACAGCCAATCCAAAATGTGGTGGCTAGATTGCTAACCAGTATTGCTTACTGGTAATATTTATCACTTCCAAAAATGATAGTTATGACCTTCAAAACTGTCAACAGTTTAAGCACCAGGGTACTTAAAGGGCTACATCTTCAGGTATAAGTAAGCTGACATGATTATTAAGAGAGAGGCCCTTTTGAGACTCAGTCTTGCTGGAACCTATTTACAGTATTTACTGAAATTATTTATATGCCATATTTCTCTCCATAGGGCATCCAAGACAGCTTACAACCGATAAAACAACAGATTTTTAAAACACTATCTAAATATCATAATTTAAAACAATTAAACATATATTAAGAATAAAAATCAAGTTTAAGGGCAATTTAAAACATTTTAAAATTTGTAAGTTAAAAACAAGCACTCGAGATAATTTAATACTTAAAAGCCTGCCTGAAGAGGAAGCTTTATTATGAATTTTTCTCTTTACTCAATTTTCAGTGTTTACAATGTTCTGATATATAAATACAACATGCAATGATGAAACATGCCAAATTATACCAGTTTTTACTTTATTTTATGATATAAAAACACAACATATAGCATAACATCTGTTTTCAGACACTGTGTTTTGATTGTAGGACACCATCTGCATTACAGTATAAGTAATGGTGTATGATTAACAAGTTAACTAGCAGAAGGTTCTGTATGATTTTGTGTTCAACCTCAATGAAAGAAAGGGTTTTCAATAAAACCAGCAAAAGCACTGTATTATTTCAAATTTGGCAGACAACATCTTGTTGATCATGTTCACATCAAATTCAGATGGCTTTAGTTATTTCTTATGTTAACACCATTTATGTTTGCTTGTCCTACTTGGTTTATTATTTCTGTAACTGCAGAAGGAACAAAGTTCTGAAAGCAGTTATTTCTTCAAACAAACTGTTAATCACTTGAAAAGCAAATAAAAATAAAAAATACTTATAAAATATGCCAACTATGTATGTCACAGCTTTAGAGGCCTTACTGGTACATAATGATAAGCCAAAGTTGTAGAGAATTCCATCTTTATCACTCAGAAGTGACATTCCAGTACACATTGCACAGACATTCCTGCTTCACTCCTTCTACTAGCTACAACAGCTAAACTGACCATAAATTAATCAGGAAGCAAAGGTTCAATATTATTTTTGAGCCTGAATCAGTTTGTTGCTTTCTTAACCAAATTTTTTTTTTAAAAAAAAATCTGAAGCCAGGGTTTGTTACTGGTTTTGAATTACTTATTTAGTTTGGAATCATAAGCCAAGAACACTTCTGGGTTAACACAAAGTTGGTTCCGAGGTAGTGCTAAACTTGTCTTCCACTCCGAAGAGCCAAGCAGAAGTCACTAGATAGCATGCATACTGGTAATGAATCCAGGATTGCCCCACTTTCTGGTTTATTGCAATATGCCAATGCAGTCACAATGTTATGAGAGCAAAACAATACCCATAAATGAAAAAGTAAAAGGAAAAAAATAGCACACTGGCATTTCTTGGGCAAGCAGAAAAAATTAAAAACAACTACAACAAACAAAACCAGAACACATGGAGAAAATAATCTCATGTCAAAGTCAAGAAGATTCTTGCTTAAATTATCTTGATTCCAATAAGATTTTAGTTTACAACTCACTTTCTCTGGATGTATTCACCATTATAATCAGTTTTAAAGTTCTAAAATATCAGCAAGAATTCTACACACAACCTATACTTACAGTAGTGCATAAAATTTTCAACTATTATTTTTGAAAAGTTTAGACAATTTCAATGACAGCTATGTAGCTTAGTGCCAGGAATTATTAACTCTCCCGAAGTCTCCAGCACAAGGAATGTATACACTGTCAAAAGAGAGCCAAAATAAATCTCTATTTCACATGTGAACTACTTTGTTTGTCTGCTTAGTATTTTCCTTACATTTTTTCACTATATTAAAGATTCCTCTGTTTTCTCCTGTATAACTTAGATAATCAAATGTTATATCTTTGACCTCAAAAACTAAAACATATGCTGGGCTATCATTTCTTGGAATGCTGGAGAAAAACATAACAATTTATTAAGATCCTAGCTGAGCCACATATGACATATTGAAAGCTGTATTTTCATTAACAATATTCTTCAGCAACCATTTGACAAAGTCACAAAGATTAACATCCAAATCAACTTTCTATTGTCTAGTGATATACCACTTCCCATCCTGGGTACCTATTCCAGATTAGGAGTTGACATGTACATGTAAGCCATTGTAGATGCTATTTAACAATAGTGCTCAATCAGTACTACACCATACATGAGTTACTCTAAAAGAGCTTCGTACACTTAACAAGTGCCACAGAACACAGTGGAATTTACTTCTGAATAACTATGCACAGGCTCAAGCTGCCTATTAGGATTCCAAGAAGTCACTGTGCAATCCAAGATCTTGTTTCTGATCTTCACAAGCACATTATCAAAGTACAGATCTGGGAAATTTTAAATATCCTAGAATTAATTATTAACCTAGTAACACTAACGTCTTCATGGTGTCATCATGGTGGTGGGGGAAATGTAACACTATTCACAACTGACTGGTTTGCCAGAATGTGAGATATTACTATGTAAGATCAGGGGAGAATTTTAATTTATCTTTAAATAAAAGATAAATGGGGAATCTCTTCACGTTTTGGAACACAACAACAGGGAAAAAAGTATGCACCCACATGAACTGTTTTCACTTACCTAAATCTAACTTCTCTAACGTGTGTTTGTGTATACAACTGATATCTATACCAAACCTTTCTATTTGAATCTGTTTTTTAAATGTATTATATGATGTGATTATAACAATAAAGAAGGGAAAAAAGAAAAAAGAGAGAAAAGATAAGATGTGATTACTGTTTAGGTGAGATATTTCTTTTCTTTAGTGCATAGTTCAAGATGCAGAAGTATCAAAGGCCACACTTTTTTTAGGCAATGGGGACAGAGAAATGCAGAATAAATTTCTAATTTTGAAAGCATTTACTTTCCCTTGTTTCCATCCAAGACATACATATTAGTACAACAATCAATATCTGGGAGAAGTGGTTTCATTATCAATATTGCATCCTAATAAAATATGCCACTGATTTTGACTTTTTAAGCATGTACTGGTAAGTGCTTTTTCTAATACGAATATGCTAGCCATAAATTTCATTTAATCTTTCAAATCTAGGTAAGTAATTAATTTTTTTAATCAGTCTGATTATACATTCTTCTACACATATACTATCAGAGTTAGAATACCAGAATTATTCAGCAGAGCAGCTGCTTTGAACAGCAAATACATTCCTATACAAAGCAGTCCCAGAAAAAAGTCATATTTTAATGACTTCTTTAAAAAGAAAGACTAAAAAAGGATGATTTCATTTTCCAGCTTACTTCCAGCCAAGGAGTCAACCCACAGATTCAATATAAGATGCTAAGAAAACTGCATTTAGTTGATTCATTGACAAATTTAAAAGCAGCAAGTACAGCGGTGCCTCGACTTATGACCATTTTGAGTCACGACCAGCTCCGGCCGCACAATTTTGCTTCTACTTGCGACCGGAACTTCCACTTACGAACAGAAAAAGGAAGGGGGAAAAAGGCGGAAAATTGAAATTTATAACTGTAGGTGGCGATGAGGCTGCTTCTTTGTAGCTGTTTTGCCCGAGCAGTAAGAGAATGTGTGTCAGAGGAGGCTTTGGACTGCCTGGTAAGATGAGGTGCTGTTTTCTGCTTTTTAAAAAACTGTTCTGGGTGTTTTTGCAGTGTGGTTTTGAACTGGGGGGTTATGTTTTTGTGCTGTGATGGGTCTTGTGGGGTTTGTTTTTTTGGTCCCCCCCTCCCCATTTCCGTGGGTCTTGGGGGGTTTGGTTGCGTTTTGGGTTTTTCCTCCCCATTTCCAATGGGTCCTGCATGCTTGCCTTCCTTTTTCCTTTGTTTTCTTTGCATTTCCGACCTGCCCCCTTTGTTCCCTGTGTATTTCCAATCTGGTTCGTTTGTTTTCTGTGCATTTCCAATGGGTCTTGCATGCTTGATTGCTTTTCTTTCTTTTTTCCCCCTTTGGCCGGAAGGGGTTAATCATGTTTCCAATGAGTCTTGTAGGGATTTTTTTTGATGATTTTTCCCCCTTCGGCTGGAACAGATTAATTGCATTTCAATGCATTCCTATGGGAAATGGTGCTTCGACTTACGACTATTTCGAGTTACGTCCATCTTCTGGAATGGATTATTGTCGTAAGTTGAGGCACCACTGTATGTATGGCTACAATCAGAATTATGAACACCAATGCATAATGTCTAAAATAGCAAGAGCAAATATGATGTAAAATTCCAAGGACAATAGCTGTTGCAAGAATGAGGGGGAAATAGCTTAACTTGACATGTGCAGATGTGAATAAATATCAAACTCCATTTTTATAGACTGGCAAGCACCCAATTTTTGCGCTACTCTGTGTTTACAAAGGTAATCAGAAAAATCTTTCTGGAATGTTTGAGTTCTGCTGGTGCTTACACAATGAAATACATTATGGAGCTGACAGGCACAGCTGGAAGAAGTACTACTATATGCCTGTGACTCAAGATAGACCCATTAAAACCCTTATAGAAGCAAATCCAAATCAAGCACAAGCCAAATCAGAATATTGCTGAGACAGCATGTTACAGAGATTACAAAGAATGTATTAACAATATTTTAAATACTTTAAGGTGTTACATAAATGAGAAGTATCTCATGACAGGGCACTCACAGCATGTGTGTGTTTCATGAATACACATGCAGATCAGAGAGGGGGAAAGAACAAAAGTGATATAGCTTCATTAGAATCCATAGATAAACACAAAACTCTACGTTTGATGGAAAGTTTAGCCTGTACATGTCACAATGAGGAATGATAAGCTGCTTGGAAGTGAAGTTATAGCTCCCATGTAACAGTGAAAAGTCTGTTGGTGTTTGTTTCCAGTGTGGCATAGCCTGACCCTATACAGAAATTCCACTTTTCAAGAAACTCCTCATCTCAGAGACTATTTTGCAGGCATAAGACAGGCGTATGAAGCACTTAACAGAAGTACATAGCAAAGCAGAAAGGCATGAGGGGTCACACATGCAACCAAATAAGTAGTTGAGCAAAAGAGCTATAACCATAGGGGGTAGCAACTTAGAGCACACAGCCCTTTATGTAACAGTTATCAGCCCTTTCATTTATCACATAGGGAGGATGGGAGCTGCAATTAAACAATATCTGGAGATCAGACATATGCACTGCTGGCCTGTATAGGCAGAACTGGAGAAGTCAAAATGTATCATGATATCAGTTACTGCAGAATCACTGCTCTTCATTGTAGAAGTTTTCAGTGAGGCCAAACTAACCTTTACTTCAGTGTGACATCATGAATCTTGAAATATAAAAAACAAATTGCAAGAATTTTAAAGAGACATGATGTAGTAGTAATGGGATATTTCAATTATCTTGATATCTCTTGGGAGGCCATTTCTACCAAATATGGTCATTCCAAGAAATTTCTGGCTTGTGTGGCTGATAATTTTCTCCTACAAAAAGTGGAGGAAGAAACCAGAGGATTAGCTATCCTGGACTTGATTTTGACTTGGTGGAAAAAGTGGCAGGAGGGGAAACTCAGAGAAAGTGACCAGGTTCTACTTGAGTTCTTGATTTCAAAGGAAACAAATCCAGAGTGTAGTCACATGTGTATGAAAGATTTAGGAAAGCCAATCTCAATAAACTCAGAATGATGATTAGGTCCCATGGCAGGAGATCCTAACAGGAAAAGCAATCCAAGATGGGATTTAAGTTTCTTAAAAAGGAAATTTTAAAAGCAGAACAAACAATTTCAAGGAAAAAAAGGTGGAAGGCAGCAAAACAGACTGATGCAGCTCACAAAAACCTCAAGAGAGGACCTGAAAATAAAAAGGACACATACAGGAAGTGAAAGAAAGGCCAAGCTACAAAGGAAGAGTACAGACAAGTAGCAAAGAATTGGAGGGATGGCCTTAGGAAGGCAAAAGCTGAGAATGAGCTGAGGTATTTGATAATTTTGCTCCTTTCCAATGTTCTCTCTAAACAATGTGGCTGATCAGCATTGTATAGGTGCTGTGCACCTATAGTTAGTGTTGCCACTCATTTTGTTTCAATTTATGGCCAGCACTTTGCACATGCAGGGAGGGGCTCCTGGTGGAAAATTAGAGAGAACTTTGCTCCTTCACCAGCTTTTGCTTATATTTTATAGAGAAATACTCCAGACTGCACATGGTATTCCAAATGAGATGAAAATTACATAAAATTGAAGAACTGAACCAAACCTTACTCAAAAATGTATGAGATGATGAAATTAACAGTACTGTAGCCATTTACGCAGAAACAGACTACTCCTCAATTTCTCATGAAGATTAATGAAACATTAAAAACTGGGAACAGTACTAGTGAATACATAAAAACACTAAACAGCTAACTTACCAGACACCTGTTTTTTCAGCTTTTCATTTTCTTCTTTTAGGCTTTTAATTTCTAAATCTTTGCTAGCTGTTAATGGACCATCTACAGTTGAATAATGCATGGCCTGGATTGTTTGTGTAGATTCTTTTTAAAAAACAAAAGTGAACGAGAACAAACATGTGAGAGGCTGCATCTCCAAATCTTAAACCATGTATTTAACATATAGGCATCCTGGCATATTGAGACGTCTTCCTACACAGCATACTGCTCAAGAAAAGCCTGAGGCCGTCTCTTTGCTCTGCCGGTTGTCATAATCAATAAGCAAAGACAGATCTAAACAGTTTCCCCATATTCCAGACTATTGTAATTTCATTCTTATCTATGATAGTTTTAAAAAATTCATTGATCACTAAGAAAACATGCATTGAGCTGTCCAGCTGTACTGATATTATAGCAACAAGAGGAAAGATATTAACAATATGAGACAGCTATACATGAAGTGGAAAGAGGTTATTTGTCTTACCAAGAGACCCTGTTTATTTCAAATGTGCAAGACATGCATGACTTATAGACATTTAAATTATGGAGTATTAAATAAACCTTTCTGCACGTTTCTATCACTCTACAACTAATCCTTGAAATCCTTGTCATTAACATCTGTGTCTTTTTCCATTTCCGCCCTTTTCTTGGTATCTTGCAAAGCTTGGCAGCAAGCTTTTCTTTTGTATGTTGTTGTTCTCTCTGTTCCAATCTCACTACTTCCTTTCAGGCCTTTTACTGTCAGCTTGATGCAGCCTCTTTCATTGGTGATGCACATGATCTAATCTTTCTTCCTCTATAACAGCTACCTGATGCTTTTTCTAATATCTCTCCTGTGGATGTAACAATACCTTTTCCCCAAAAGGGTGAACATGATTAATAGATTATAATCCTAATTCCCCCTGAAAATCTGAACCAGAAGGGCTAGAGATCCTCAAGCCCTTCCCAGTTTGGGGATTTGGGGGATATGTAGGGAAGAGGACTGGAAGTAAACCTTTGTTTGTATGAACAGATGGCCACTAACATTAGATTCAACCATCCATTTCAAAGCTAGGCAAGGTTTGGAGGTCAGTTTCCCACCAGCTGGACTCACTAAGCACTAACCCTTCCCAACAAAACAAAACCGGTAGTAGTGAGAAGTCCAATTCAATTATTGCTTTCAAAAAGTCTTTAATTTCATAGGGAAAATAGGAGGTGGATGGGACTGCATAGGAGCCTTAAATCATAAAAAGGGCTCTGCTATAGTTGACACTCATCTACAGTCTAGACTAATCATTTATCCTATTACTGTATGTCCCTTTGTACTCCTTACATGTTTCTGTTTCTTCCCAGGCTCAGATAATATCAATTTGTTACTTAAAAAAATCTTCATGTATTTCTACATAATCAGTTTCTTGTTGAAGTCCCACTTTATTTCCAACTGTTTTACATCTCTGAAATTTATTCTTTCCTTTCTTTTTTCAAACCTTTCTTTTTGTTTTAAATTGTACTTTCATTCAGTTTTAACTACTCTTCAGTTAGATCACTTTGCCCTAATCTTTTGCCAAATGGGATGCTTTTTCTTCTTCAGCTGCTTCAACTCTTTAAGGGACACACTTATGCATCCTTTTCTTTCTCTTCACAAAGTCTTGTTTATATGATACTCTGGCACAAAGATCATCATTAAATCCAGGAACAACTCCGGCAACCCTTACCTCCACCCATTTCCTTGGCTGTTCCATTGCACTGGAATGGCATCATTTGAATACTTCTATGCTACATTCTATAGCTCATTTTTAAACTATGCTTCAGAATCCATCTATATTTATTTTCCTTCTATATCTCCTTCTGTTTTCCTTTTTGAACTCTTAAGCCATCATCTGAGCCTGGCCTACTTTTCTTTCTGCAGAATTCCTATTAATTTATATGCATTTTGGAAATGTTGCAACAAGATAAACAGTTCTCCAAAATTATTTTGATTAGCTTCCAATAGTCTTAAAATTTTCTCATTTCTTAGAAAACATAGTTTTTTTAAATTAAAAATGATTATTAACCCATGACTATGAAGTCATGACTCTCATAAGGTCTGTATTAAATACAGGATGCTTTCTTACAATGCCCAGAACTCTGTTCAGTTTTGGTATGCGTGGAAGAACAATCACACAGCAGTCTTTGCAATTTGCTGTATGTCTCTTATGCAGCTGACTGCATGACCAGGAAACAGCCAAACAGCAAAATTGGTCACACCATTGAACAACTGACTTTCCTCGAGCACCTAACTCAACAGGATTCTGGCCAACATTTTTAATTTCAAGGCTTTTTAAAATGCAAGTTATACAAAATATGTGAACCGTCACAATAACAACAACAACTTTTTAAACAACAACAACAACAACAACAACTTTTTAACAATCCCAACTTCCACCACATTAAGAACTTTTCACAAAGCCATAAAGTAAATTTAACTTAAATGATCAAAGATCCTTTTTATAGGAATACCTTGGAGTTTTCTGCTAAGTTCAAGCTTTTCCTGCTCCAGGCGCCTTATACGCCTCTCATAAGCTTCTGTAGCTAAGGTATCCTCAAGTGTCCTCTGAACGCTGGCATCAAGGTTCATAGTACGTTGCCCAGCTGCAAATCTTAGGCTACTGCGGTCTGAAAGGATACTGAAAAGGTATTTTATCATTTTCAGAAACAAGAAAAGATCTAAAAAGAGTTGCCATAATTCAGAACGAACTTCATGGCACATAATTATTATTATCATGAACACTTAGTCCTAACTCTAGCTGATCAACTTTCATATTAGGAAAACTAATAAAAAAGACAGCATTTGAAAAATTATTTAGAATTCTCATCACCCATGACCACTGCCATACTGATGAAAACTTTAATCTGAAACACGGGGAGAACACCAGGTTGGGGGGCATTAGTGTAGGTAATTATGGCCCCTGCTTGCCCTGTGTTAATGGACGACTTTCAGTTTCCTGATGAGGTGGACAGGACCCTTGGAGAGATAAAAGCAACCACATGTCTGCTGGACCCTTCCCCTTCCTGGCTTATAAAAGCTACCAGAAAGTGACCGGCTGAGTGGTGAATGTCTCCTTGCAACAGGGTAGGATTCCAGCATGCTTAAAGGAGGCAACAGTAAGACCATTATTGAAAAAGTCCTCCTTGCATCCCGCAATACTGAATAATTACTGACTGGTCTCTAAGATTCAATTTTTCAGCAAGGTGCCAGGGCAAGGTGTGGCTTCTTAGCTCCAGGGGTTCATAAATGAGATGGATTATCCAGATCCATTTCAGTCTGGTTTTAGGCCTGGTTATGGGATGGAGACTGCTTTAGTCACCTGCACAGGAACTGGAAAGAGAGTGTGTCCAGTTCATGCTATCTCAAGGATCTAATCTCCCTGTACAAGCATGCACAGCTGTTAAGGTCATCAGGAGAGGGTTTTCTCTCAGTCCCACAGCTGTCAGAGGTACGTTTGATGGGAACACAGGAGAAGGCCTCCTCTCTTGCTGCTTCCCTCCCACAAGAAACTGGGCTGGCCCCATCTTTGCTGCCTTTCGACAAGGAAAAGCTTTCCTCAGTCAAGCTTTCCTTGAGAGACTGGCTGCCTGAGTGTGGTTTTATAATGGATTGTTACACCTTATTGCTTAAATGTCATTTTGGTGTTGTTTTGCTTAACTGTTTTTTTTTAGAACTTTTTTAGTATTCCTATACTTACTGTTCTTCACTTTAAATATTCTCTTTAAGTTATGTAAGTCACCTTGGGTCCTTTTTAAGAAGAAAGGCTGGGTAAAATATATATATTAAATAAGTAAATAAAATAAAATAGGTACTGTCCTGCCCTACGTATCACCACAGATCATATGCTATCATCAATAGCATGGTGCTTTATAAAAGCAAATACATATTAAACCAATATCTTACAGTGCCACTGAATCACAATGAAGTACTGGTACTGAGCAGAAGAAATATATACCTTAAATCTTACTATATTTGAATTCTTAGATTTAGATTAGGTATTCTTCAGTCTCGAGAGACTATGGTAACATGGTCTGAATAAAGAACTTGGAACAGCGTCAGCCATTCTCACGACATGCCCAAGCCAACGTAGACCTCGCTATTTCCGTAATGTATATATGCTAAAAATTCCAACTTGTTCTAGGACTACTCTATTTGGAACTTTGTCCTGCCAGGTGATACCAAAAATGCGTCGGAGACAACACATATGGAATGTGTTCAGCTTCCTCTCCTGCCATGCACAACAGGAACAGGAAACTGAAAGTAATCCGTGAATTTGCATTCATTCATAATTGAAAAAATAGAAAAGAATAAAAATGAATTAAAATGTTTATATTTTACTGGGAAAAAAGATTAGGACCAACTTATACTGGAATACGCACTATAATAAAACTGCAAATAAAATAAACTTACCAGGTGAAATTCAATGTTAATTCTAGCCACAGCAGACTTATTGAAATTAAAGAGAACTGAATTATCCCATGAATTTCAGTAGGCAGGATTGACATTGGACTTATCCCTCTTTCATCTATATGAATGCATCTAAATTCACGTGAAGAGTCAAAGTTTCTACTCACCAGCTACTTGTGTATGTGAATCCCACAAATGGCAGATGATGGCCAGAAAATGCAGTGTGTGTTGGTGGAGGCATTGTTTCCTGGGGAATAACAGAGTAGACATGTTAATTAGATTTCACTATTTTGAAAAAAAAGTGGATGCCTCTGAATCTACTGAAGAGAAAATCAGCCACCTCAGCCCTTCTAAGATAAGTAGCAACTTGGCCTGGAATGTATATGAGTAACACTGCTTCCTCCCTTCTCTTGACTGGCACAATGCCACACTACCGATGAGCTAGAAAGACCAGTTAGTTGTCCCTTTGATACCTTCTGGCCCAAAGGTCCCAGCATGAAGCCATTAAAAATATAGACCCATGGAAATAGAGGGTGCGTTTTGGATGGCCTGACAAAAATATTTAATGTGCTTCCTTCCTCAACATCTGGACAAACAGGCTTAGGGGGGAAATGTGAATTTCTATTTCAAATTATCCTTTCAATTCAGTACTGTATAGTGATTTATATAATAAAAACATGATTTCAAAAACTATCTAAATTTTTAATATTTACCTTGGTTATAACATGATTCATCCTGTAAAAATCTGCCGAAAACTTATACAAATATTCAGAACATACATAAGTGCATTTTAAAAAAACTGAACGTTTTCTATTTTAAATCTGTATTCCTAAACCAGCTGAAACACTTTTATACCTCTTGTTCAGATTGTGTTCTATTCTATGTTTAGATTTTTAAAAATTTTGGTACACTGCTCTGAATCTTGCACAAAGGTGTGGCTTATTAAAGTTACCTACCTATCTACCTATCTAATTATAAAAAACGTTCTTGGATAAGTTGTTGTTATACACAACTTACAGAATTCTTCAAACAATCGTCATCTACATCAAAGTTTGATGTATCTGTTGGACTGCTGACTTCAGGGATATAAGGTGCTTCACAATTTCGAATGTTATCCCAGTCAATTCCTGAAAAAAATGGGTGGTTTTTGAAGTCTTCTATCCCATTTTGCCCAAGTCTATGTTCTCTGCTGCAGATGAGCCTTCTAATTAGATCCTTGGCATTTTCAGACACATCTGTCACTTGGGGAGGAAACTGGAACCTCTCCTTAGAAAAAAGTGAGAAGAAAATTAGGGCACACAATGAGAAATCACAGTTCAGTGTTCCATTTCTTTATGTTTGCAATAAGAAACAAAAACATTACACTTCTAATGTATACATGACAGTAAACCTTTACATATAGAAAAAAAGACTCACAGTATAATCCTCTACTTACTCCCATGGTGTTCAGTGGGGCTTACCTCCTAGCAAGAGCACAGAGAACTGCAGTTTCAATGGCCTATTGATTAGTTAAGTCAGCATAAGTGCAATGGCACTTGCCACTAGTGAATAAATTGATGCTTGTGTATGTACATCACTGTGCATTAACTCAAGCAACTGATGTGTGATGAAAGATACAGTTGGTGACTTGTTAACTACTAGCAGTTCACCCCGCCACTAGTGAATAAATTGATGCTTGTGTACATCACTGTGCATAACTGTCCCCAGTTATTTAGTTCGATTTCTTTATGAGAAAAGGTTGTAGTGGAAAAAGAGATGTCCATTTCCCTTCTACATCTCTCAGAATTCTATATACAATTTCGTCTGTCAGTCATACAACCACTTTATTACTTGAATTATTCACTCACTTTATAATTTGCTAATGTTGCCAAAATATAATCATGTACAATAATTATGGTATAGGCCTTTCATCATGTCTGACTACCTGATTATTTCATTTAATTTTATTCAAAGAACATTATAAGATCAACAGATACAGGATAAAACCTAATACAGTATTAACATCTGAACCAGTAGTGCCTAGCCTTTTTCAAGTCATGGCCCCCTTTTATAATAATAAAGTAATAATAATCTGCACCATGTTTGCATAAAAAGCCTTTTTTAATTGGGGTAAAGTCAACCTTTCTCAGAAACTAGAGGCTTCTTTCCAAAGGGCCTGTTTCTCATAATATGCATACACATTAACCTTAATGCAGTAGTGCCTCGCTTAGTGACATCAATCCGTTCCAGGAAAAACGTTGCTAAGCGATTTAATCGCTAAGCGATTTTTAAAAGCCCATAGAAACACATTAAAACGTGTTTAATGCGTTCCTATGGGCTTAAAAACGTACCTTATGCGAAGATCCTCCATAGGGGTGGCCATTTTCGGTGCCTCTAAAGCGAGGCAAAACAGCAGGGGGCCATTTTGTTTTTCCGGCGGCCATTTTGGAGCTACTGATCAGCTGCGCAAAAAGGGTCGCTTTTCCATGATCGCTACCCGCGATCATCGCAAAGCGATTTTTTCCCCATAGGGGCCGTCGCTAAGTGATCGCTCTGGCAATGGCCAAAACCCCATCGCTAAGCGATTTCATCACTCAACGGAGCTATCGCTAAGCGAGGCAGCACTGTATTCCACTCTGAAAAGTCACGGAAGAAAATATTTAACAAGGGCTACAATACATATAAAACAACCACAGATCCCCTAGAAAACACTTCCCAACCCCCTTGGAGGTCATGACCCCCAGGTTAAGAAACACTAGAAAAATAAGTACTGAATTAGTTAAATGCTGAATCCATAGCTAATTAAAGTGAATATATTTCATTAATAAAAGTATTCATGTTAAAAAGTAAACAAGAAAAAAGTAATGAGAACAACTGTTGGGGTTTTTTTTGGGGGGGGAGTATTGCCTATGATTTACACACACTCACTTTATGGTTCATGATCTTTCCATAGGTCTCCACCAGGGACTCGGCATAAAAGGGTGTTTCTCCATAAAGCATTTCATACATGCAAACACCAAGGGACCACCAGTCACATTCAGGGCCATACTTCCCTTTCCCATCTTCCATAGCTTGCAAGATTTCTGGAGAAATATAATCTGGTGTTCCAACTGCTACTGAAGATTGAACCTGCAGGGATCGTGATTTTCATAAAAATGGTCTATATTATGAGTGATATTTTTATGCAAACGTGAGCACATACATTGATATTCAAATAGTGATGTGCATCACTAGATGATAATGCACAAGACAGTTTTCAATTAAGCTATATTAATGTGACAAGAGTCCCTGACAAAACTCTTCCTGCTTATTAACAGCTACATTATTTATTAGCAGCATGTATTCTCTAGATCCCAATCCTACAAATGAAGGAGGAGGGTTTCACATTCTTATATAGATATGTTTTGTTTCCCATGAGAGTGCCACAAATTGGTGGAGTTTTGCAATCTAGCAATCTAATGTGCGTCTTCTGTTGTTTTTGGATTTGATTTGTTAAATATTTTAACAAGACTTTTGGTAGTAGAAAGCAGAGTGCAAAGTAGTAAGATGTAGCTATAAGAAAGAATATAGGGTGGGAAATTGGCATTTCATAGCGTTTAGATACAAAGGCCCACAAACATGCACAGGGCATACAAACAGGGCATAAACGTCACGCAGGTGTGGGTACTATATGTGTTTATCCAAGGCCTGTGAGAATGGGATATGTTATACTGAGGGAAATATACCGTCCTTCCTTTTAAAACTGAGTGGTACAAAATATTAGAGCATCCTTCTTCATAAGAGTATGTAAAAAGGGGATCCAGGTTGGTATAAAGGTCAGTGTATTCAACTAGAAATCAGGAACTCTAGAACTAGAAATCCCCACTTGTTCATGAAATTCAGTGGGCGAGTCACATGTTCTCAGCCTGATCTATCTCACAGAGCTGCATGGATAAAGCAGTGAGGAGGACAACAATAATCCATGGAATATGCTTGGTGGGAGGTGCACATGTGTGTGCTTGTATGTGTACGTGCAGTGATTGCTTCTCAGGGAAAACATAAAAAACACATTTGTACACATTAGACATGGTGGGGAGGGGAGTTTTTGTTTCATTTTCAGTTGGAAGCTAGGAATCTTACAGGGCTTTAAAATTCTTCAGCTAGATGTCCCGCTATGTGGAGACAGCCTAACTGGACAAAAACAAGGAACGTGGTGACTGTTTTTTTCCATCCCGATCACGCATGGTTTAAATGAACAAATTAACCAAGTGACAAAAAGGAAACAACAGTTTTCTTCTTCTTCTTCAATATTTGAATTGTTCACCTTAAGTCTCCTCTAATCCATTAAACTTCCAGTCATTTAGCCCAACCACTGTCACAAATATTTTCCCTGGTTCTATTAGTTAAAAAAAATTCTGTCACTAAGAACCTGAGATGTATAGTGATGCGCAATAAGATGGTATAAATGCCCCTTCTCTCAGCACTTAAGATAACAGATTTGTGTAGTTACACTTTTGCAAATATATGGAATCGTTAGAGAAATAGGATTTTCAAAACTCTAGTGAGTGATTATTATGTAAGATGACAGATCAGAGGGGATCAGAGATGGCCTAAGTCAGTGGTTCTTAACCTTTGGTACTCGGATGCTTTTGAACTGCAACTCCCAGAAACCCCAGCCAGCACAGCTGGTGGTGAAGGCTTCTGGGAGTTGCAGTCCCAAGGTTAAGAACCAGTGGCCTAAGTAAACCAATCTCATCAGTTAACATCCAAATACTTAAAATAAACTGCTTTCACACTATCAACATAAGCGCTAACATGACACGTTATAAACAGGAATGAGTTTTTCATTCTGAAAAATATAATTTAGTGTCATTTTTTTCTAAATTACCGTTCCGTCTTCCATCAGTTTCAGACAAGAACCAAAATCTGCTAATCGAATATGTCCATTCATATCCATCAGGATGTTGTCTGGCTTGATATCCCTGTAAAGAAAATTCACTTAGATCATTTCATGCTTTTTCTAGTATCAAGGCAACTATAATAAAACATTTTGCATTTCAAATGGTGTAGGGTTATTATCTGGTTAAATATACTAATTGTAGCCTGTATTCAAATAATATTAATTTTAATGTTCACTTTGATTATATTTGTGTTATTTCATGTTATTGCCACTGTTGTAAATGACCCAGAGTGACCAAATCGGTGGCATAGAAATCAAATAAATAAATAATATTGTCACCAATCACCCCCAGTGATCAATTAGTTCATTACAGATCTAACTCTGCAAAGATTTGATGAGAATAAAGCAACAGTCCTGAACTGTATTCTGCTATATGCGTGAATGGAGGAAGAGGAAGAATAAGAAGGCTTTTTAAGATGGTTGCTGAAATCCTTTTGTGTAACATTAGCAAAGTCTAAGTTTCATTCTGTTCATCCCCAATAAGTAAACAGTCCTCTCCATAACTCTTTGGAGATGCATGCACACTCACTAAGCCAGCATGTGAATATACCCAGAGAATTGCAGAAGGAGCTCTTTATTTCAAAATGAGGAACAGATCAAAACTTACGGCATTGCTTATACCACATAATTCTGGACACTTTGTGCCACCTATGGTGTGCATTTTTATCCATTATTTACTGTATTTATCTTATTTATATCCTGCCTTCCTCCTAATTGCAAGAGTCCGAAGTAGATAACAGTTAACAAAAGACATGGCTAACAACACTGTAAATTATGATGCACTCTGAATTGTGCCTAGAAATAGACCAGGAGTCAGTGAAGCTGTCATAACAAGGAATGTTTGTTCTTCCTGGAAGTGGTTCCTGTCAACAGAATCGGGACAACATCTTGGAACCATTGAACTTCAAAACACCTTTTAAAGGCAGCCCCATACAGAGCACGTTTCAGTAAACCAAGCAGGATGAAATTATGGCATGTTTCATAAATCAGTTTATTAAACACAACCGAAAAACTAAATCTGCCATCCAGCAACAACTGTTGCTGGCAACAAGGATCAACATTTTCTTGTAAAATGCTCTGGAAAAATGTGTTGAAAAGCAATATGGAAATCTATAAAATATATATATAGTTTCGAACACTGTTTAACAGGACAGTCCTACACATGTCTTCTCAGAAATAAGATCCACTGATGCACATACTAAAACAATAAAAATTATATACATATTTAAACAATAAACACTCTTTTTTTTTTTTAAAGAAAGGCATTATAACATCTTTCCAGAAAACCAGTCACAATTCTGCTGGGAGTATGTTTCAAATAAATCAAGAAACCTGAGAAATTCAGTTTAAACATTCTTAAGTCAAGAAGCCAGAATGTTTGGAAGCAGAGTGGGAAGTCATTCTTTATGGAATCTTAGCTATTTGCAGATTCTGACTTATCTGTATTACTTCAATCATTAATTTTAGTTAATATTTACTTAATGCATTTAAAACTTTTTTTTATTGGATTCTAGTATCTTTTGATACACACACCATAGACTTTTGGTCTTTAAATTTTGATGTTTACTGTAGGCATCCTTCAGTCTTGAGAGACTATGTTAATGTGCTCTGAATAGAGGTCTTTGAACAGCGTCTAGTATGGCTGAGAAGGCCAATTCGAGAGTGACAATCCCTTCCACACTGAAGACAAATACAATCTGTCCTCTGTCCAGCTCTCTGATTTGGCTGGTTTCAGGACTGCCTCATTGTCTTGGCCTGCTGAACAAGGGTCTCTTCAAATTGGGAGAGGCCATGCTACACTGCCTGCCTCCAGGCTGAATGCTCGAATGTCAAGGTTTCCCATCTGTAGAGGTCCATTCCTAAGGCCTTCAGATCCCACTTGCAGATATCCTTGTATCGAAGATGTAGTATCCCTCTGGGGCGCTTTCCCTGCACTAATTCTCCAGACAGGAGATCTTTTGGAATCTGACCGTCAGCCATTCTCATGACATGCCCGAGCTAACGCAGACATAGTTGTTTCAGTAATGTATACATGCTAAAAATTCCAGCTTGTTCTAGGACTACTCTATTTGGAACTTGGTCCTGCCAGGTGATGCCAAAAATGCGCCGGAGACAACACATATGGAACATGTTCAGCTTCCTCTCCTGCCGTGCACAAAGGGTTCAGGACTCACTGCATTACAGAAGTGCACTCAAGACATAGGCTCTATAGACCTGGATCTTGGTATATGTCGTCAGTTTCTTTTTAAGCCATACTCTCTTTGTGAGTCTAGAGAATATGGTAGCTATTTGAGGAAGATCTATAATTACAATAATCTGCTCTGCAGGTTTCTGTCTGGATTCTCCTCCACTGTGTAGCTGGAGTTTTTGAGCCAACAATTTCCAACTTCTGAGACATACTGAGTGAAGAATAACAAGATATCTTCTAGCTTTGACAACTGTTGCAGAGTTTGCAACTTTGGTATGAACACAAATTCTTCCTTTCCCAAGAGCATCTGGACACACAGACCAGCTAAAAATCTAAAGAGAGAGGGGCAGAAAAAGTGTCTAAAACTTGACTTCTTGTTTTGAAAGAAATCATTATTTGGGAGTGTGAAATTGTTTGGGCAAAGAGGCTGTAATCTATTTAAAAGGTGCATTGTTTTCTAGGAAATGAAATTCAGCTTTTCTGCCAAAAAGAGGAGGACTGAGGAGGGCCAGGGCAGCAATAACAGTCTGTAGGGGATCACTCTCCCTTGATTTAAAGAATTCAATATAGAATAAAGAACAATGAGAATAATCAAAAGAGTGAAGATGCGGTATTCTGAGAAAACAGTGAAAGAGATGGATTGTTTAGAATAGCAATAAAAATATTAGCAATAACAGCAAGGATGAGTAGTAACAGCACAATACATAGTTAAACATAGTGTATATAAATTGTTACTAAGTAAGCAAATGAGAATTCTGCAAGCAAACTGACTTTGTAACTGAAAATTTTCAATAAATAGGACCAATAAATAGCACAACTCATCAAAGTCTTCTAACCAAAGATTATTGATCAGATCAGGTGAAAATCATTACTGTTTGACCACTGAAGAAATGCTAAGAAAACCATATTCTCCAAAAGAACTATAATCCTTGTACAGACTGAGCTTGTACAGTACTCGGGAAAATAAGCCTAAATGCGACTAGCTGATCCAATTTGTATAACTCCAGGAACAGACAACCTTAAGGAAATGAGATAAATAATCTTCAAAGAAAACATGACAAATTATAACAATTATCCCAAAACTCTAGAGGTTAGCATGCAATGCACAAAGCTAATCCTGAACTGAAATGCTTGATTAATTGCAGAGCTTACATTTCAATTTCCTGTTATCATAATAAGACAGAGACTGTATTTTTCAGAAGGCTCCCAATCTAATTCTGAATTCAGTAAATAAAATTATTTTGCAAACATTACTTTTATTAGTTACATGTAGCAGTTATTTCCTTTCATTTGTTGAAGAATAATGGACTCAGTACAATTAGTTCAGACAAACCCCCCCCCCATCAAACTGGCACTAAAATTCAGAGCTGGAAAGTAACACATTACAAGTAATGTAATTATCTGTAGCTAGTTCTAGTACAAGTAGGTTTAAATTTCAAAAACAACGTAGCAAACAGTTACAAAATTACTTTTTGATGTAATGAGCAACAGCTTCTAGGCCCTTCCAAAAGTTATTTTAAAAGGCTACTTCAAGGAATTTGATGGAATTTTGACAGGAATTTTTCAATATTTATATAAAATTATTCATAAACGATCAGGAAATATTGTTTTGGTCAGTGTTTCATATAAGTGAAAGGCTGAAGCCACAGTATCAGGATTGGCCACCAGAGAGAATGAGGGAGCATTTCTCTTTATTTTTCTGGCCCATGGCAATGACCACATCATGTGCTATTAAAATATAATTAAACAAATTGTTTTCCCTGATGTGAGTTTGATAATAATGGCAATCTACTTGCTTCATAGTAAGAGTAATGTAACAAAAAATTTTAAACAAAGAATATTCCACATTTGTTCAAAAAATCAAAGATATCCACATCAGCAAGTTCCATTACTCCACCCATGAGCTTCATATTAATAACACTGACAAACAGAATCAAATCAGTTACAATTAAATGAAACCATGGCACCCAAAAGCAACTAAAATGTAACATTTAATTTTGTAAAACAGAAGCAATAAAAACAACACGAAATATACCAGTAAGCACATGTAGGATGATCTCATTCCCTAGCCTGAGTTGACTTAGGGGTGTCTATGTGATAACATAAAAACTCCATATTTGACAACAAAATTGGATGGATGGGCTGTAAGTATTTTTAAATTAATTAATAAAATAACACTGTGTTTATAGAACATAACAGCCCCAGGACGATTTTAAGCCAGTGGTAGAGCATTTAAGCCACGTCATTACATTTCAGGTCTAACAAGATTCCCCAACTGTATTTTAACAAATGTCTTATTTGCTTTATACATTGACATTAAATTTCAAAAGTCAATACTACCTACATGTAAATTCTACTATGATAATATTTTAATAGCCTGAAACCTAAGGATCCAACTTTTCTCTTAAAAATGTGGGGGAAAAGCCATGTTGAAATACAAATATTTATATGATACAACATTCTGAATTCTTGCATAACAATGATCTGTACAGTTGCAGGCCTGACTGAAAAAAACTGAGGTATTACTGGATTTCAAACGCACACATCTACTCAATATAATTCTTAATTTAACCATACAGCTTGCTGTCTTTTAAGCTAGGCTTTGGCTTTTGGCAAGCAGCAAAGTCCCAGGGCACTCCCAGAAGAAGAGAACAGTAAATCACTTTTGAGTATTGTATGCCTTGAAAGTCCTGGAAAAAGTTGCCACACTGACTTGTAATTACTATTGTTTATATCCTTCAAAGGAAACTGTATACGAATAAAATGCTAGAGAGGAGTTGCCAGTATGATTCAGCAACGTAAAGGATTATGGTTTCTAAGTACAGTTTCCACTTTGCCATGCAGATTCTA